CTTGGCACATGCTCCTTAACATAAACCAGCAGAAAATTTCCAGACTCTCTGACCAGATCTTGAATCTAACCTTTTGCAGGACTTTTCCGTGCAACAGGCTGAAACGGAGGAGGCTGGTGGGCTGGCCAGTTACATTTATAGATGATTTTTGGCATGGGTTTAATGTTATTAAATCCAGATGTTATTCTGTGGTTTAGATCCTAAATCTGTCTGCCTGAGAAAACAGCCACTTTCCCAGTGACTTGGTCTCAGTGGTTAGACCAAGAACTGGGCACGAAGCCATACTTATGTATACTGAGTTTCCACTGATGAATAATTTAAAATAGTTTTCGGTGGCAGTGAAATGATAACTTGGAGCACAAATCCCATTCCTTCTTTCCAGTGATTTGTGACTGCATTTTGCAGAAGCAGAAAGTTTAATACAAGTTGCTCAGAGATAAGATTTAAAAAAAAAAAAAAAGTTTCAAGAAATGAAAAACTTCTCTTCTGATAGCTTTTCCGTTTTCCCCTCCCTTTTTCCTCAATGCTTCTAGAATTAACAGCACATGATAAGACATGCGTGCTTGCACCTACAGCCAAAATACCCTGAGCTGCAGTTTCCAGGAATAGCTGGGGCAATTATAGAGTTTCTCTACCTTTTTATTTCCAATGATCATGCAAGAGACTTCATTTCTGCCCGGACAGTTTCAGAAGAATAAGAGAAACTGGTGGTTTAGGAGATAGCAGCAGGGCCTCTCTGTTGGCACAAAATAAAACCACCGAGGCAGTGTTGTCCTGTGGTCAGTGGTGGTTCTCCTTCAGGGCAGATACAGGGGAGTAATTTCTGCTCGCTGGTGTTGTCAGACAAGGCACCCTTTGCAATTTGTTCTTGCTTTAGCAAAGGTGTTGGCTGTTATCCAGGAAAGGAAGATAAAAATCTTGCTGATAGCAGCTGGCCTTCTATCTTAGCCTTTAGGGACACTGCCTCTCAGAGCTATGGTCTCCAGAAAGTCAGGGGTCCTGGTACTCAAGGTGGATGTGCTATCACCAGCCAGAGGCTTTCCAGTCATTTGAAGTAGGCTTATGGCTATCCAATACCTTCAGAAGTGGGTTAGTCCCTGAAAACCTGCCCTGAGGCACTGTCCTACCAGGAGAGCAGTGCCCTGAGCAAGTTTCATGTGCTGTTGTGTTTCCCAGTCCCACTGCTTGGTATTTCTGTGCCATCCCTGAGCTGCTGGCAGCTGTCTGTCTGCATAGAATCCATTCCTCTTGGGGAGGGCATCAATCACCTCGGTGAGAAGCCAGGCTACTTTCTGGGAGCACCCAAAATCCATCTTCCCAGTCTCTCCCCTGGCTGTACGGAGGGGACTGCCCTGCCTACAAAGAAGAGGTGGTCATCGGGAACAGAAGAGCCTCTCAGAAGTTTCTGGGGGACCCCAAGGCTCTGCCACGTGCCATTGCTTGTGTCCTGGGATGGGACTAAATACCCACAGGGCTCCAGCATAGAGGAGCAGTTCTGGATGTCTTTGTGCCTCTGTCCATCATGGGTTTCTGTAGATCTGTCTGGGGCAACACCTGGGCAGACCTGGTTTTAATAAGTACCTTTATCTATCATCTGCGTTGATAACAGCAGTTACTCTCAAGTAAATTCCTGAAAGGGGGCATAATATAATAAGCAAAGCCATGCCAGCATGGACCACTGGAGTTTTGCTTTCCTCTGGAACTCTGGACAGGTTACTCTGATCTCCCTGCATCTTGTTTTTCCTGTTGTAGAAGCAGAGAAATGTGTCCGAGGAAAGCAGTTCAAGATTAAGCATCTTCAGGATCTCAAATGAAGCCTCTGTGTTGATCTGAATCACCCAGTCGGGACATATGGGAGATGTTTCAAAAATGTTTGACACAGCTAGATGCTCCTGAAGAAAAGGAAAAGCACATTTACCTGCTAACCTAGTAAAGAGGCCTTAAATTAGTAATTAGAGGGCTTGATGAAAACAGCCCATAGGCAGAGACAAACGCTGGTGATCCGTAAAAGGGCTTAAAAATTAGGGAAATGGTGTTATTTATAGGGTTACTGGAGGGAAAGGAGGAAGGATAGCAGCAGTTCAATGCCCTGAATAGCTTAGGCACTTGCTAATGCAGGACTGAATAAACAGGAAGAACTAGATGTCTTAATACATCATTTAATAGGTATAATAGACACGTGCTGGAACTCATGAGGCTGGAATATTAATAGAAAAGAATAAAGCTTATTCTGGAAGGGTAACAGAGGTGGCAGGGGAAGAGATGTTTTCCATCTATGTTCATGTGCTCTGAGATCCAGTGTGGAGAAAGAGATGAGCAAATCACAGATCTCTGAGTAATGGTATGCACGGGTAAGGAACACAGGCATAGCACACCAAGAAGGGCAGTCCTTGTGAGAAGTTAGGCTAATTTTCTGAAAGATAGGGCATGGTGGTAAACAAGGAATTACAATTATGCAGACTCAGAGCTGGGAAGGAGCAGAGGGGAACACAACATGTTTGGCTTGCTTGGGGGGTGAACTGGCCCGACCTTTTGGTGCAAAGGTGGAAAATTTTTTGGAGGTAGGGAGGAGGTTGTTCCAGAACTGATTCCCTTCAACAGGGAGGAGCTGACTGGGCATGTGAGAGCAGAAGGCGGTGTGAATGGGAATGATGCTAAAATGATAGCATGATGCTTGGGCAAAAGTGACAAGAGCAAAGCAGTCTTCGGGAATGGAGTTATTGGTAAATATGAAGAACTAGTCACTCATATCTCATGGGAAGGAAATCTGGGATGGGGGAGAATTAAAGTCATTTCCTTGGATATTTGGTATTAAGGTCAGAAGTGTAAGCTGTCATGTTTCAGAGAGGCTCAGGAGGGTGAATGAAGTGGTGGAATCACAAGCTGTTCAGTCACCTCAAACAGAAGCAGGATGCCTCTAGGAGGAGCACGGCAGGTTGTTTTATCCAGCACAAACTCTTGTGGCAAAGGCCCAAAGTGAGAAAGAGTTAGCGAGGATGTAAAGGACAATACAATTTGTTCTGCAAAGATTGGTTTCTCTGGGTTTCAGTAACCCTTCTAGTAGGTGGAAGATCAAAGAAGATTTATGTCTGCTATACAGTGAAAAAAAAATCAGAAAATCACGCTAAGAAATCTGATACATATATTTTTTCTTTTATCAGGCATCTCACACATTAGTTGCCATCAACAGAGGAGAAAGGGAGAGCTTTGGGGCTGGAACAGAGAAAGAATGGGTCGGCTGAGTAAGGTAGAAACTGGCCTGGAGCACTGCTGCCTTAGGGAGTTTGTGGAGCACAGACAGGCAAGGTTCATAAGACTGGGAAAAGAGCAAGCATAGCACCTACCTGGAAACAAAGGAAGAAGAAAAGCTGAGTGATTACAGATATATAGGCTTCACTTCTTGGGTAAAGGTTGAAAGAGTCAAACAAACCACTTCAAAGCAACTAGAAGTGTGTGGGGGAAGAGATAATTAACAGCCAGCAGTCCAGAAAAACTACATCAAACCCAAATTAATTCTGTGTTAGCGGTAGCCCGAGGGCTAGTGAAAAAGCCTTAGATAGCTGTTATGTGTCCTGGCTGTCACTTTAGCGCTTTTACAAGTAAACTGGAGAGAGATGCCCAAGATAAAATCACTGTAGAGTGAGTGCCAAACCTTATTGTTATTATTATTATTATTATTTTCAGACACTGAGAGTAGTTATCAATGACTGGTAATCAAACTCAAGAGTGTCATCATAGATGTATCCCGGATCTGGTATTCAGTATTATATTTTCCGTCTTGTCTGGCAGAATAAAGCACACACTTAGTAAATCTGCATATGGTACCACCCTGGCAGGAACTACAAGCACACCGAAAGATAGGATTAGAATTGACTAACTGAAGACATAGTCTGAAAAAAATTGGATGCAGTTCAATAAGGACAAATGAAAGTTTTGTATTGCCTGATGAGGCATCAGCTCTGCCAGAAAGGATCTGCCAAAATGGATTTTATCCTGGCACACTGTCATCCAAGTGCTGGTGGTGCAAAAGGATATTATTTTAAATTACTTCTAGGAGATTTTCCATTTAAATATTTGTTGTCACTAAGATAGTTGGAGTGTTCCTTGTACTCCTGTCAGCTTTGGTAAGCCCCAGCTGCAAACTAAGGCTCTTTTTGGGTGCTGAGCTTCCAGAATGAGGTGAACAAGCTGGGAAGCCAACTGGGGAGCATCAAGAATGATGCCACTTCTGAGAGATCAACATGTTAAGAAGTGACTAAAGAAATTAATTGCCGTTTCTTCCAAAGAGTAAACTACAGCAAGGCTTAGCAGCCTTCCCTACATAACGAAGTCATCTGGGCTCTGTGTCCTTGGCAAGTAGTACAAGGAAATGACGGGAAGCAGAAAGAGCACCTTTGATCATCACAGGACAAGATACAATTTGTTTAAATTGAAATAATGAGTTTTACGTTAGTGGGAAAAAAACTTTCCCCCTGGGAAGGACACTGCAGTCCTGGAAGAGGCAGTCAAAACAATAGCCATCACTGCAGTGTTTTAGGGCATTTACTGAGAGTGACAGCCACGACCATCCCTTGAGGTAGAGGGTAGATTTGGTGACCCCTTGATACCCCTTCCAGTATTTTTTTATTTCAGGATAGCTGTGGTGGGATGATAAAAGGATGTGCATTTGTACTGGGGGAAGGGCGCCAACAGTAGGCTCATGGCAACAGCTCCAGAGGCTTCAAGGGGAGGAGATGAAGCAGGGCTTCATCTCATCTCATTCATATTGATCAGCACTAGTTGAATGGTGATTCCTGCCCAAGAGAAGGTGAACAACTTGTTAAACCACTGCTTTATCAGTGCCACCAGCATCTTCAATTCCCTGACATGGGACATTCAGCACAGAGTACAGATTCCCATTGACATTACCTTTCAGCAGCTCTGCTTGATTTTTCTGATTTGTGCCTGTATCGATTCTGCCTACCTTCAAAGACATCTGATTTGTTTCTTCTTCTTTGCAGAGGAAGAGAGACACCTTCAAGCAAACAAACGGGATTTTAACCTGCAGTTTGAATATGCTGTAAGTAACCAGCATATGTTGCTCTGTGCAGATGCAGTGACAGATGCTGCTGCATCTGTTTCGTGTCTTCTCACTACAAGGCGCTCTCCCTTCATGTTCATTTCGATGCTTCAAGGACACGACATGAGTGAATTCTGGCTGTGACTCCACAAGCAATGGGTTTAAGCCTACATTTAGGGAAGAGGATTAATTCCCTGGGCTTACCAGAAAGACTTGGGCAAAGATTTTTGCTGTGCCCTGTGGTGAGGTGGGGGGGTAGATGTGCCAGGGAGCACGTCAGAAAGATGGTTCATTGCTGAGTCACCCACAGGCAGCTCTGTCTTTGGAGTCAGCCCTGAGAATGGGCAGTCAAAGGAGGCCTAATGCTGGAGGAGCACAATGCAGTGGCTTTCTACACTTCCAGAAAATCGTTTGTGAGACAAGTGTTTGCAGGATCAGGCTCCAAGGTCTTTCAATAACGGAACCTGGGGGGAGATTTCTGTTGGAAATGTGGCTTCATTTAAAGTAAAACATGAAAGGAAATGTGTCAGTTCCTCGGCTCTCACAGCGAAATCCTCTCTGTCAGGAAGGTTTTGAGTCTGGCCTTCGTGGCTTCCTGCCAGCTTTTATTTCCAGCTCCTTAGCAGCCTTATTGGGTTACTGTTGTGCCACGAAATCTGTGCCTCCAAGAAGCACCATGGCATGGACTGGCTGTCACCCAGGTCTGCCAGGCTCTGGTTTACTCAGCTTGATTTCCAGAGGGGGCCATTTGCTGTCCCTTTGTGCAGAGGAGGGCTGGCCCAGCCGGTAGACCTGTACTGCCTGGCTGCAGGGTCACCTCCTTGGTTGGGCAATCAACACATTTGCAGCTGCCAACTGATACTGAAATGAATTTTGTGAATTTTTGTCCTCTGCATATCTGAATTCCAGAGGTGAAATTCATCCTTCAGCTTTACTCAGGAGCTCCTTTGAACTGTGTTTTGTTTAGGAACATTATGGATGTTTGCTTGGTAATTTCGTAACTGGAAACACTTGACATTTCAGAATAGTGTGATTTTTCGTGAGATAGAAATTTTGACTTGCCACAGGTTTAACTTAAAATGTAGCTGATTTGTTGCAACATGAACTGGATGCTCTTCAGTAACCACCTCTCATCCATGAATTACACAGGTTAGAGAGTTCCTAGGCACAGAGCTGCTGCATGTATCCCAAATATGCAATGTGTTGTGCTTAGTATATGTAAAGGACTATGCAGCACAAATGCTTTATCAAGCCTGGTGATTTGGGACTGGGAAAGTGCATTTGATTTGCATAGAACCTGCTGTATCAGTACTGGGGTGGGCATTGCCTCTATGTGTGGATTTTGGATCTTTCATGGGATGATTGGAATGTGGACTATGGGAAGCAGTGGGGCAGGGAAGCAAGAGGGAGACATACAATGAGGTCAGGGCAGAGAGAGCAAGCAACTCTTCTGGTGCTGAGTCAATTTTTGTGAAAAGCCATTCATAAAGCTAACTGCATGCCACTGCTTCCCAGCTGATTGCTTACAAGCCCAAGGGTTTGCAAATAACCAAAATCAAGGTGAGGACTGTGAGAGCTCTGGAGAGTTTCCATAAGAGTCTATTAATTAGGTGTGAAAGCGCAGGCAGCCAAAAAGCCAGCTCAATATAATCTGTTAAACCTTGGCTGCGAGTTTCAGTAATCCTACCCCTCATTTTAGTCAGTTCATGATTTCTTGAGTCTGGTGTAGACTGAGGCTTAAAAATTTTAGAAAACTGTCCAGAAAGAGCCAAATCCTGAGTAGGTAGGTGAGTGGGTCATGAGGTACAAAAATGCTTTATGGTTATGCAAGCACTGCCAATACTGTACAGGGCTGAACATCATGTCCTGGGCTGCTTATTTCCAATAAGTCTTGACAAAAGTTCCACGTACTAAAATCACATTGCCATGGTGCATGACAGTTACTAACCATGCTCATAAATTCATTTAGGTCCTGTGGTTACATCTGGAAATGCCCAAAAGAGAGAGAAGCTCCCATTGCTTTGGCATATGCATTGTACTCTAGCAGTGCTGTAGTCCATCAGAAGAGTCAAATCCGGGCCCCTTCCAGATTCAGATTTCTGTGATTGCTGTGGGGTTACACTGCTGAGCACTAGATTCTGGTTCAGCAGGAAGGACCAAGACCACCCGGACTCCAGACCCTGCCCTGGGGCGCTCAGGTCCAGCAGATGTTAGGTTCAGTTGGCTGTCAGCATGCTGGCATTTCGTGCATGGAGCAATTTCCGTCTCCTGCAGCTGAGGTCCTCCCTCCTCAAGATGTGTTCGCGCTTGTATATGTTTAATCTGACCCGTGTATACACAAACCACAGAAGTGCTCTCCTTGTTTCGTGGTGGTGCTCAGCTTTTCGGGCCAGGAGAATCTGCACAAGTGGGCAGGATGATCAGAGGGGCCAGGAGGAGAAGAGCAGTCCTCCAGCTGTCAGTCCCACGGTGAGGACAGTTAGCCCTTGTCCTTGTGCCCAGGAGCCTTGTCTTCTCTCAAGACAGAAGGGAGGATGTGCTGAGTTATTGCACTTGAATATAAGGGATATTGGGCAGAAACTAGAAGGAAACAGAAATACAACAAACCTTAGAAAGTGTTTTATACAGTGAAAGCCACAGGGATGGGGTTTATTTTACTTGGTAACTTAAGGCCATGTAAGCCATAAAACCTATAGAACAGGTTCTTGTAACAAAGCTAGGTGAGGCAGTAAATGTTTCTTCAGGGTGAGGCAGCTGCTGAGAAAGGTCAGCGCAGAGAAGAAAGGGAAATGCAAACAGAGGTGTAGTGTATTGCTGTGCTGCTGCAGCCAGGCTGTATGTCACAGCTGGCACACAGGTTTGGGCCTTTCACTAAAAAGAGAGTTTCTTTTGTGTAGGCATGGATCAAAGGTACAGAGCTGCTTTGTCTCCTCGGTGAGAACAGGGAAGTGGGCATGTGCAGCTGGAGGAGGTGTGCTGGCCCCGAGTCAGTTGTGGTTATCTTCCCTGCATGGTGCAAAGTCTACAGGTTATCTGTGACGGAAGAAATGGGGAGAAAAAAAAAATTAGGAAAAAAAAATCTACTGTGTATGGAGGGTGACATCAGCTCTGGAGGCTGGGTCTCCTGATGTGAAGCAAGACTCCTGAATACTCTCAAACCAGCTCTGCAGGAATGCGATGCACTGCGGAAAGCAGCACTTGCCAATTCATGCAAGGGCACGTCCAGATCACACATGGACCTGCAGGAGGATCCAGAGGGCAGCTTTGCTCCCTCAGTTCATCGAAAAACAACACAACCTGGTGATGCCCCTTGTGCACCTTCTGATGAGTTTTGCTGTGGTTAAGGGCAGCAGCTTCTAGCAGTGGCTCTGGTAGTACTTGGGTAGGTCAGGATTTATCTGCACTTGGTGTGAAGACTGAAGCTGAAACTTGAGCTCTCAGACTGATGCAGCCCCATTCTTGGCTTTATCCTGCACGGCAAGAACACAGTAGCTTAAAAAAATAAACCAAACTTTAGAACAAAGTGCTGTGCAGTTAACTGGAAGGGCTGAGTGTGAAGGTACGAACTGCCCACCAGTTCACAAAATTAGTTTGGAATGAGTCAGAATCGAAGCGTGAACAAGTGACATGGAAAGGCACTTAGTGCGGCACAGAAATGGACTCAATATGGGTCTGCAAAATTGAAAAGTCAAGTCTTAATCCTGTATTTATTCACACCTCAGGCAGACAGATCCTTCCGGGCTTCTGTAGGAGATTTGCCTGCATAATGACCAAAATGAAGTGAAAAGCAGGGTGCCAGGTGTGTTCCAGTGAGATTTAAATGGATTTATCACGATTCCTGTCTGAGATGATTCAGCCTGGCTGCACTGTCCCCAGCACCACCGCCGCGGGGAACACATCAGCACAGACCCACCGCAGTGGGCCAGCCCTGCACCTCTCTGTCCATGGAAATTCTGGAGAGCAAAATCTCTTCTGAAGGGTTTTAATGTTTGCTTTGATTCCAACTCCCTTTTATTTCTTCGCTTTCACATTGGAATTCAGCACAGCTGCACTGGGACGTCATGAAGGGCTGCGAAAACAACTTTGAAATTGGCTTGCAGACAATAGGAGAGGAAATGCAGGGCCCTTGAGTCAATGACAAGTTTCATCTTGGTTCAGGATCTAGGGTCAAACCAGCATCCTTTCTGCAGGGCCAGCAGCGAGGGGGCTGCTTGCACTCTTTTTGTTTCCCCTGGTCACCTAATGAATTCTCCAGTGAAATAGGGGGGATGTATATAACTTCCTATGGCCAATACACATTACCCTGGGCTGGAGGGGCAGCTGGGTTATTTCTTTGAAATTTCATGGGAGAGGAAGGAGCTGGGGCAGTGGGCTCAGACTGCTCCACCCTCTGTGCTTGCATGCTTCAGTCTGAGAAGGATGCCCAGAGGGTTATCCGCAGAGACCTTGCTGGTATGTGGTCAGGAAGGCAGCAACGTCTGCCTCTGATCCCATCTTGAACCTGCAAATGTTTCCCACCTTTGTCATGCCTGAGGTTGAAGGGAGTGTGTTCTGATAATGTGCAAAGGGGTCTCAGCAGCTCCTAAAGGAGCAGCAGTGACCAGTGCTTTCTGCATTTAGGAAAGCATTGGCTGGATCCATCCAAACAACCTCTGAATCACTGTCCCAGAGCAGCCCCACGAGAGGGGATGAGCTGGGAGCTGGAGTGACCCCAGTGCATTCAGTGTCCTCCCTGACCGGGGCACAGACCTGCAGTGCCTGGTCGGGGGATGGGGCAGGCTGGTTGCAGGGTCACACTGCAGTCCCAGTCAAGGTTAAGTAATGATCCATTTTAGGTCCATTTTAGGAAGCCCAGTCAGGAGCAGTGGGAGACGATCCAGAGACAGGGCTGACAACAAGACCACACCATAAGTCCAAGGTTCCTCTGGGAGGCAGGGCTCAATAGGTTTGGCAAGCCACGCCACCTCTTTCTGCCCCCATGCATACTCACCGCTGTGCGACTGACTAACAGCTCTGTATCAGGGTGGCTGCAGGCAGAAGGAAGGAAAACTCAGCCCAGTGAGTGCATTTTCCTAGAGATCTTCCTGGAATACTGAATGTGTGATTGGATACTGGGACTCTATTATTAGTTGCAAGAGGCAAAGGGGGGTCAAGGGTTTGCACATGTAAGAAATTTCCAAAGCTGTTAAAAAAAAAAAAAAAAAAAAAAAAGAGTAGAAGCGGTGTGGGTTGGATATGAATCTTTCAATTTCTGGTGTTAGGCCAATCCTTTTCTTCCAAGAGTCAGGATGAGATCTTTTCAGGCACCAGGTAACCCCATTGCCTTCCAGTGGGCCTTTCTCAGTCATGTTGAGCTGAGGCTGCTGCCCACTTTGGGGAATGAGGAAATGAACTTACTAGGCTTAAAACAGATCTCATATGGCTATCCAGTACTGCCTATGAAAACAAAGCCTCAGTAGCACCATGTGTCGTGTTCCACGGGTTTATTAAACAAGTCCTTGAGCACATTCACAGTACTATGTCGTGTTTCTGCATATGGCAGCTGTGTGCTTCCAAACTGCCCTACTGCAGGTGGACAGCATGCCGCTGAATCGCCCTCCTGCCATCTCCTTGCAAGGCTTTATCTGAGCACCTGGGAAGGCCATTTGTGTTTCTCAGCTGCTTTGTCGGTCTGTATACCCTGTGCTACACGGGTGCCAGTGAATTACCAGGTGTTGTGGCACACCTTCCTGATGAACAGCCAAGTTTTCTCTAAGATTTGCTTTGGGCCATGTTGTCCAGCTGCTAGGAACTCATATAGGACTGAGTTAGGGGGACAAACTCAGATGGATAATGCCTTGCCATACCCTGCCTTTTCTGGGCATCCCCCTTTAGCCGCTGCAATACGACCACAAATCCGCAGTGTCTCTTATTTCAAGGAGACGACTTTGTGTTTGCTCTGCGAACACAGGTAGGAGCCATCTGCCAAGCGCTTGCCCGCAGCCTGACGTCAGAGGCAGGCATCTGAAAACACCCCCGAAGTAACAGCTCATCCGCCAGATCTGGACTCGTGTAACCGTGGTGCTATGAGCACTATTCTTAGGGACAGCGTTGCGGTGGAGTCGCACCTCCAGGAGGTGCGAACGTAGCCCCTGAAAAGAGCAGATGAGATTAATCCCTCGCCCACAGGTCGGTGCTGCTCTCATGTCATGCTTCACGTCCTGAGAGCCTGGGGCTGGGTAACCAGGGTCATGCTGGTCCTTGGGGACACAGGTCCATGGCTGTCAAAGGTAAACCATGAAGTCTAGGGCAGAACGAGGGACTTTGTGCTGGGCCCATGAAGCTGCTGGTCTTGGATGTTTGATTTTTGTGATTCTGCTGGGGAATGAGGAGTTCCTGAAAGGCCTCTTCATAGTTAAATGTCGCTTCAAAGGTTTCAGTTTTCATAGTTAAATGTCACTTCAAAGGCTTCAGCTCTATCCTTGGATGGGAATGCAGAGCCTTCAGCTGGAAAGGCTGATGCTTCTCCTAGTTTGTTTCTACCATCTCATACTTAAATCCCCTTAGCCCCTGAAGGCCATGAACAAGTTAGTTGTTGAACTAGAAATCTTTATAATGATTATGGGGAATTCTTCTAGTGTTGGGTTTTATTTATAGATTTTGTAATAGTGAGCAGCTCCGCTGTGATATTACCTGTCCTCATCCTGAGGTCTGCAGTGTCCCAAAGTCCCCAAAACTGCACATCAGAAACATTATCACTATCTTCAACTGATGTGGAGAAAACACTGGATGTTCAGATCTGTGTAGTTAAGCATGTGGAAGCTGTTATGTTTGGGGATTTTAACATGCCTAATGGCAATAGGAAACAAATTGAATGTCTCTGGTTCATTCGGTGGTTTTCTTGACGTAATTAATGGACAGAAATAGAAGGCAGGAATTGAAATAAACCACTCCCATTCTTTTCCTACCCACCTCTGTGATTTTTTCAGGCAAAGTCCTTTAAACTTTGTGTTTACAGATGAGTTTTTCCCAAGTATATGACCCTCTGAAATCTGGTGACGCATGAAGGTCAAGTTCCCTGTCCGTACTTTTTCCTGTAGCAACTGTCTTCTCTTTTTTTAAGTTAAGTGGCAGGGATTATTATTATTATTATTTTTTGGTAGGGTTATTGGACATCTTTAGATCCAGATTTTGTTAAATATAATCTGCCAGACTCTGTTGGGCACAGACTTGTCAACAGAGGCATTTAATTTTCTGAATTTTGTGTTTGCAGGGGATGCTGCTATTCTGCTGCTTCTGTCTTAGCAGTGTCCATAGAGCCTGCATGCAGTACATATCCCGTGCTGAGGAATTCTGAAATTAACCAAATTTAACAAGATGTCATGGTATTTAGATCACAGGTGGAGTTAGCCACACCCAGCAATGGCTACATGGTGCCAGGAGACAGGCAATATTTTTTCATATGAGGATCACTGATAATCATCTCTTCTTGCCTCCGACTGGAGGATTTGGCTAGCTCTTCCATGAAGGGCGTTTCCACCTCTGCTCTTTTAGAGGATTATTCATTGGCTTGTATTAAAGAATAAAACATGAAGTTGGTGCCAAAGAGTGTTGCTGTACTTTGTGTCTGGATGTAGCCAGAAATCTAATAACTGCGTAGAATTGAATTGCTTCCCCCTTATACACTTGATGGTGATGATGATAAATAACTGGTTTATCAGTGGAAACATGCTGATATGAGTCAGTTTAGAAGTAGAGGTCCTAGATTAATGTATGTATTAATGTCACCATTATAGCTGCCAATATTGTTGCTGTTTGCTCTTCAATGGAACCAGCAAATATACTCCTGGATGAACATGCACTGTGCAATATAAACCTCCTTGGGTGCTGTCATGCTAGGTTTTCTTGGAGGGGGTTAATAGGCTTTTTTCTAAAGAGCTTTTCTGAGATAAATTTTAGATATGCTAGCAACAGATGGCATACATGCTTCCAGGACTAACCCTGGATGAGTGAGTAATAAACTTCATATAAAAGGAAAACACAGCACACCTCAATACCAAGGGGAGGAAAGTGCCTGCCATTTCCCTACAATGCTGGGAAAAATAGTTGTCAAAATTCCTGTCAAGCTGAGGAACAAACCTGTGGGTCACATCCGCTTGCCCAGGTGTATGTAGTTCTTTCTGTCCTTGGTGTTGAGACCCTGGGCTCATGCCGTGCCTCTTTCTAGGCTCAGTGTGTCCCTTCGTACTTTGTTGTGCCCTCGGGAGCTTGTATTTGATACTCCAACAGAGTGTTAGGCTTGAAAAGAGTAAACCTCTGGGTTGATGCTGGGCACACAGCCCAGGATCTCACATTGCTACCACAGCCCTGAGCACCGCTACGGTGCAGGACTGTGGAAATAGCACTTGCTGCTACCGTGCTGCTGAGAGGCATGGAGAGGTGTTGCTCTGGCAGCTGGTGTGTTGGGCAGCTCCAAAGAGCACTACAAAGCACGGGCAGACCTGTGCTAAAACCTCTAGGAATTTGGGACAGCCCTAGCTGGTGAGCTTAGTACAATGGATTGAGCCATGGTGGCAAGAAAGAGACCAGAGAGCTCTGATCTTTAGGGAAGAAAATACCCCGTGCTGTAATACTGAGCTCGTATCTTTGTTTTGAAGCAGACAGACGGGGGACCAGCCATTGCTTGTGGCTGGAGGGGCTGTCTGTAATTAGAAAAAGAAACTGGAAATAGGGAACAAAGCTGCAGCTTGCTTAGTGAAATGGTGATTTCCTGCATTAGTGGCTGCTTGCACAACACCACGTTCAAGTGATCCCTATGGAATAGAAACCAGTGACCTCGCCAGGCTGCTGAATCAGCTACAGGCCATAATGCCAGGCTCTCCCCCTGACAGACCTATAGCTCCAGAAACTGCTGCTGTGAAGTCTCAGGACAAGTTATGGATAAGTGGCCTTGCATGTGTTTTCTAACTCTGTTTTGTAGATTCTACCAACAAAATGTCTGGCTTGTGCTCCAGTTATTTTTTTTTTTCCAATTCTGTTTGTGCATCTTGTAAGTGGAAAGAATAATAAAAGGACAACATGTCTCTGAGTGACTACACCTACCTGCATCCACCTGCGACTGCACTGGCATAAGCTGAGCATCATGTTTTCATCAATTCCGTGAGGAATTCTCTGTTTACCCAGACTCGGCATGACTGTATGGGGAAAAGGAAATGATTTTTGAGCTGCTGCTGAAAACAATGCTATTGCTAAATATAAGCAAGTAAAAACACAGTTGAAATGGGTTGTGCTGTAATTTCGTTTCCTGTTTTACCAATCCTATTTGTTTGCCTTTTTTTTTTTTTCCTACAGAACAATTCAATTAAAACATCGAAATACAACTTCTTCACTTTCCTGCCTCTCAACCTGTTTGAACAGTTCCAGCGAATAGCCAACGCTTACTTTCTTTTCTTGCTGATTTTGCAGGTATGGACTCACTGTGCTGTGCTCTTTCTAACAGATTGCGTTGTCTGTTATCAAAGCCTGGCTATGTGTTGATAGTTGTAATAAAGTGCAAGCTATTTCCCTGTTATGAATTATCATCTTAGCAAAACCTTAAAATAGATAGAAAGTAGAGGAGAAAAAAAGCAATTTCCTCTCTAACTTTTGGATGAGGGTTTGAAATAAATGAAGAAAAATATTAATTGCACTTTTCAGCAAATAGTATAAATTTTTCATGCCCTGCCCTCTTACTCCTTTGTGTCTAAACCCGAGTGCTCCTGCCTGTCCTTGGATTTACATTGCTTATTCCTTTGTTAGTATAAAAGGTTTAAAGGCAAAGTTTTATACTGTATTGGCTGCCTTAAAGGAAACAGCATGAAGAAGGACAAATTTGTAACCTGTACAGTTTCCCTGAGAAGGAAGGAGTTAACATCAGGAAGGCTGAGGGTTGTAGCTCGTTTGCATAAAGCTGAATATTGCTGCTCCCTGCCCAGCAGGGTGAGGATGGAGCCTAACATGGATCATACCAGACAGTGGCAGCACCACCGAACCCTGTGGCTCCTAGTGGCATCAAGCTGCACTTTGCTCATAGCTGATGATGATGCTGTTACCGTATCTGAAAGCTGGACACACCAGAGAAATTGGTATCAGGAGTTCTGCCCCTTTGCCCTTTGCTAGAATATGGAAAAATGCTGTGTGGTCTGTCATTGCTGAGTCATACTGGAATACACATTATCCAAAATAAATAAATTAATAAATACACAAACAACTGGTACAATTTTGATTGTGTCAGTAATTGTATTTTAAATCTGATCATTTCAGTGCACAGGATTTTTCAAAATTGCCTTTTTCAAATGATCTCTCAACTCAAATGGTCTCTCAACTCAAGACCACCTAGGCATAATTTCACTCAGCCTGTACCAAATTATATATAATCTTCTGTGCTTATTTACAGGGAGTGAATTTGGGAAATTTCAGCCCACATATATTTTCCAAGAAACCGGCTTATAGTAGAAGTGCCTTTTCAGCTAAGCTGACAGCACTGTTCCTGTGTTGTTGCACTGCACTCTAGCTGTTTGTCTATCAAATTTACAGTATTTCAAGTTATTTGCCTTAAATTATTCAGCTGTGTTTTTTGCTGAGCCACCTAGGAGTGACAGTTTATAAAAGCATAGTGCTTTTTCTGCTGCCTTCATCCAATTATGCTAAAGAGGGCAACAATTAGTCTTTTACCTCTCCCTGCCCCTGTTTAATTTTTTTTGCCTCTTCTGCTGGCTCACTCCATCCCTGTAGCACTGAAAGGAGAGGCTGTGACTGGTAGGCTGTGGGGACTCTGCCTCCCTTTGCCATAGGCACAGTCCCAAAGGACATGCATCTTCCCGGTTAGGTGAGAAGGAAATAGTTATGTGGCTCTGCAGCCTCCACAGCTGTGTGGGGCTCTGCTGGTCCCTAAACATCATTCCTTCTGGCTGGATTTGGTGATGCATGTAGGATCTGGGTAGTGACAATGCAGTGGAAGGAGCAATCCCAAAGAGTGCCTCTCCATAAGCAGTGCTTCTCCATAAGGTTTGGTGGCATAAATGTCAGTTTAACCATTCCCACAGGGTTAACACTGCCCAAATCCACTCTGATGGATGCAGTGAGAGGGATGTCGTTCAGTGGTAGGCTTGGCAGTGCTAGGTTAACGGTTGGACTCAATGATCTTAGAGGTCTTTTCCAACCTAAATGATCCTATGATTCTTTCAAAGCATTTGAAGCACTGAAAGCTCTGCACAGCAGGCCTTGATTGGATAACTCTGGGTCCCACATACCAGGCTTGCCCATGTCAGTGCCTCCAGAAAAATCCGCTGGGGACTTTGTGATCCCAAAGCTACAAATAAAGAGCAACCCATTGCATTTCCTGATAGCACCTGTTTACATCCTAAATTACAGCTTGGTTTGTGAGCAAAGCATGGGTTCCCTAGCTCTCCCATATTTGTGTGGTCACATGTAAGTGACAGAGATGTATTTCTGTCTTTAATCTATATTCAGATATTGTAGAAAAATGTTGTCTGCAGCTTCTACAGAAAACAGTGTTTTATTTCCAGCTGCTGAAAAGGCAAAAAAAAAAATAAAAATTAATCTGAGATCTCTTCTTCCTACAGCTGATTCCTCAAATTTCCTCGCTGGCCTGGTTTACAACAGTGGTGCCCCTCGTGCTGGTGCTGGCCGTATCAGGAGTCAAGGATGCCATCGATGATTTTGTAAGATCCATTTTGCTGTTGCGTACTTTGGAGTTCGCTCATCATTCTCCAGCACAATGACTGAAGCAAACCATCTAAAATAAATACAGCCAGCGGTATTGGAGAACTGATCTCTGGCCAAGATGAGGTCTGAGATTAGATCCCCAAATTTATATCTCATTATCTGAAAGGGAGACAGGATTTCCTAATTGCTGAGCAGCTCAGCAGCTCCATCAACTTTATCTGGAACTGCTCAGCATGTTGGAAAATGTGATAACCAATGGGTATGCCTGGACACATGCACAGAGGTCTGATTTTAGGCTTCCACTTCAGAGAACTCATTCTCTGACATATAGCCACAATGTAGGTGGGTCTCTCTTAGGAAAGTAAGGATACAAGCTGTGTGTTATTTTTCATTCTTGCCCAACTTTGCCCCAAATCTGCTCCCTTCAGAGCTAATAGACAAAGCTCCATCAACTTCATGGAGTGAGACTAGGCCAGAGCTGAGTTCAACATCTGATTTTCTTCCTTCAGTAAAATAAGTTTGGTGCTCAATGAAGACTCAGTGCAGCTTTGCATGTGGACAGGTCAGAGATGGAGAGGTGCTTCCCCGGGGAACATCTCTGTTCATCTGGAACACCTCTGGTCACTTCCCATAGCAGAGCAGAGGGGTGGGTTTTTCTGGGTGCCTAGTTTATGGAACTGTGATGGGCAGGACCAATGGCACTTGAATCAGGACTGTGCTGAGAGGCACATAAAGCCCTGCCCTCCCTTTTCCCTCAGAGAGCAAGCCCTGTGTTGCCTGCTGCTCTCTGCAGTCCTGTCTTACTAGCTGAACATGAGCTCAGCTATGACTCAGTTGTGAGTCTAATCTGCCATACCCATTCAGCCAGCTGGGTGAAAACCTAAAATGTTAACGAACTGCCTACAGCTATTGTATGCTTGGTTTCCTGGAAATGCCATTTAACGTGATGATCAAATTTTCAGAATCGACACAAAAGCGACAAACACGTCAACAACCGCCCAGTCCAGGTCCTGATCAATGGCATGTAAGTCCTTTTTCTTTTGCTGTAATTTTGGCTGAACATGTACCACTGGGAAGAGCATTTAGTTTTTTCCCCTTGGTGATTCCCAAAGATCACTAAACAATTTAAAATGGGATTGTCTTTCCACCTGTTAAGTCACAGTGCGGTTCTGCATTATGTGGCTGCTTAACTAACCCAATACATGGTAACACGATCAGTGTAGACATTATGGCTGTGACCCTGCACAGACAAAAAGTAAACTATTCCTTTTCCTGGATGTATATACATGTATGTTTAAATAAGTGCTACCTTGGGAGTGTTATATTATTTTACTCCTTACCCTGCAAATGACCATCAAGGCTATCTCCCTGTCTGTGTTCATAGCCTTTATTTCAGCGTTAAGCAAAACCAGACATGAGCAACAAGTGATTTTAAATCAAGAAGTACAGCTAGCTTCCTCATTCGTGTTGTAATACTTTGAGTGTGTTTACTTATGTGCATAATGCCTCAGACTTAAAAGTACTCAAAACATTTCAAATGTATTTTGGCTAATGTACTGCTTAGCACTGTTCTTTTTCTTCAGAAGCGATAGCAGGGGCTTTGGCTGTTGTAGCAGGCAGATGTGCTGTTTGCTTGCAGCTCCATGGAGTCCAGCAGCCTTAGGACACAGCTGTAGACAGCTGTGAAGTTTCTGGTGACTTTTTTTTTGTTTCTGTACTATAGATAGTAGTATATTGTGTAAACTCCAACAGATGATTGAACAGTTAAAAATATAACTGGAAGCTGAAGAATAGGAACATAGTTTTTGTGCTTTCTGCTAAGTAAACCAGTTTCTTAGTTTACTGTCTATTAGTTACTGTGTCTAGTAAACAAATTAAAATAGAAACATGCTAATTAAAAAAAAAAAAAAAAAGGAAAACACAGGTCCTTCCCCAGCTCGGACTGATATTGAGGGCTTAGGTGAATTCCAGCTTGACTACCCAGTCCTGTTTTGATATGTCATGACAGTTTTACCCTCTAGGATTTTCATGCACAGCTATCAAGACTTATGCTGGTACTTGCAGTTTAGCTGTGTGCCTGTGCATCTTCATGCTGTGAAGGCCATTGCAGATGGGGAGAGTTTCTTTCTGAGACACTGTGGCTCTTTGGGAGAAGGAAGGAAGAACCTGGACAGGGCAGTGCTTTTTGTGTTGTCCCTTAGCCTAGCAGAGACCAGGCCACACAGTGGCAGACCCTGCTCTTTTGTACCATCAGCCAAGGCTTGAAGAGACGTACAGCCTGGAGCTGAGCAGAGTAGCCTATGTTCATAAGTGGTGTTTGCTCTATGTGCCTACTCACTGGGAGTTCTCTTGCAGGTTGAAGGATGAAAAATGGATGAATGTCCAAGTTGGGGATATAATAAAACTAGAAAACAATAACTTTGTGACGGTAAGTACAGTTTCTCTCCATCCTGTTCCCAGTTAGTCTCCACAATTGCTCTTATTGCCTATCACTCACGAGCAGACTAGTCATCAGGGATGACAACTGCCCCAGAGAGCTGCAGTGCTCAGAAACCACAGGCAGCACAGCAGTGCCACTGCCCATAACTCATGCCCAGTCTGTTTGCTTGTGTTCAGGCCGATCTGCTGTTACTGTCGAGCAGCGAGCCGCACAGCCTGACCTACATCGAGACGGCTGAACTGGACGGGTAAGCAAGCCTTCCTGCTCCTGGGGGTCAGTCACTGCTGCCAGAACAAGGCCAAAATCTTGTGGGGTGGCCCTGGATGCTGCAAGGGCCTACTCGGTCCAAACATTACTTACTCCAAGGCACAACTGGCCACAAAAGTCAGAGGGTTACAGCTTATTTGTATTAGTAAGCTTAAACTGGAGCTGGCCTCATTGTTGTGACCCAATTTGCATTACTGTGTTGCCCAGAGTTAGTGTCAGCTGTGGACTTTGGTGTTGCTTTGGTGACCAAGACCAGAGAGATTGAGGTGACCTGGTCTCCTTGGACGCTACATGCAGTCCTCTGGATTTTCTCCTTCTGCTTCCTCCTGAAACTGAGCCCATAGTTCTGGTACATGCAAGTGCCAGTGAAAACTTTTAGGAGGCCTAGGACAAATGAAATGCTTCTTTGATGTTGCGTTTCAACTCACCGCCCCAGCTAGCTAGTCCCAGGATTTCAGTGCACTTCAGGACTGGAATAGTATGGGAGAAGATCCAAAGCTCTCCTACATGCTCAGGTACCTGGGGATTCTGTGGTATGAGTGGCAGGATAGACAGCAAGCTGCTCAGGGAGATGGGATGCTTGGTCCTACACTTTGTGGTGACAGTGGCAGAGCCACCTTGCCCTCTTTGGTCCCATGTCCAGAATTCCTCTGGACTGCATGTCTCTGCAGCTGAAAAAGACAACTACATCCCTTTGGCCAGGTAAAAAAGGCCCGTAACAGCATGGTCCATCGGATGTCTAGGGAAGAATACAGTCCTCAAGAACAGAAGGAAGACTTTCACAGAGTGCTGGACTCAGTCCTTTATGCCTTATGTAATTTATTACAGTGAAACAAACCTCAAGGTGAAGCAGGCACTGACAGTCACTGCTGAGCTTGGAGAAGACCTTCAGAAACTGACAGAGTTCAATGGTGAGTCTACACAGAAAATTCATTTCTATCAATTTCTCTCCTCTGTTAGTGCCCCCAAAAGACTGCATTTTAAGATATTTATGGACCAGCAGTGCAGATGTGGTTAACAGTCAAGGCATCATTTCTTCACACTGTCTTGTATGGCAAATATGTAGCAGCACATATATAGGAAAAAGGAGCCAGACCTGCTGCAAACAGAATACCCCATGTTCACGCATCATCCCTCTGCAGAGAGAGGATGGGGGAACAGACCGAGGGGTGTCTGTCAAGCTTCACAGAGCCCTGTTGGCTTTGATAGGAGGGCAGGATTGTGGGAAGAGTCAGTATGGAAAGGGGTGGAGTGAGCGCTGCTGTCCTTGGAATTTCTTAAGGACTGCAGGATCTCAGGAAGTACTTTTAAGTAAAGAGGAAAATGGTGATGATGATGATGATGATGATAATAATAATAATAATAATAATAATAATAATAATAATAATAATAATAATAATAATAATAATAATAATAATAATAATAATAATAAACAGTCTTTGAAATAATGATTCTGGGAAAAATGGTGGTGATGTGGCAGAGAGTTAGCGTAGCTTATGCAGTCTCTGGTAGTGCCATCCAAAGCCATAGGCTTTTCTTTCACTTTCTACGTTGAGGTTTTGTGAAATAATGTGTGTGGTCTCAGCTCAGCGATGGCTCAGTACATTGGGACTTCTCCAAAGTGAAGGCTGTGGTTCTGAGTGCTTTAGGTCTTGAGAAATATGCTTTTGCGGGTGCAGCTGGATGTTCTAAGTTAATAGTCAAGGTTGCATGTCTTAACTGTCTTCCTGAGGAGGCTGCAGTGAGTATCAGTTTGTAAGCAAAATCCTAATCTTAAAACATTTTTCAAGCATTTTCTGTATAATGCTTATCTAAAGATACTGCATTCTTGATACTGCATAATTAAAAAACAATGTTTCAAAATCATTTGGAAATTAAATTTCCTCTATCAAATATTTATTTGTCCTTTATATCTCTATTTTGGTTACACTGCAAATAAAAGTGGCCTCTTTGCAATGCTAAAATGAATAAAATGTTTCCCAGGATGATTTATATTTGGAAGAACACTGGGAAGAGTGCCTGGAATCAGACCCAACCTTGCATTTCCCTAGCTTATCTCTGTGAAAGTATTTAAATATTTATGTAATTCTTTATCTAATTATTTCTTAAGAGAGGAAGCGAGGGAAGGGTTGAGCAGCTAATAGAGGCACTCAGTGGAATGCTTACAGTGAGTTACGATGTTTGTTGATGTTGCGATAGTTCAGATAAAGAAGATGCTTGCAAAATGATGAACTTGATTTGATATGAGGAACTGGGAGACAAGAAAGGAAGCAGTATTTTTCTCTTACCTACTACTTAGCACATGTAGACTTCGCAGTATTTAACTCTTTCAGGTGAAACTCATTCAGTTTAACTTAATGGAAGAAGGAACCAGGAGGCACAGCTTCTTTCAGAGTCATTGGGGCAGGTGCACTGGGTGAATCTCTCAAGCTTCTCACTTTTTTGTGGTCAGACTAATTTGAGTGGATACGTTTTGATGTCAAAATCTCAGACCCATCCACTTACTGGAAAGCAGATTCAGATGAGGTACACATTAGGTACACATGAGGTACTCAATCTCAATGGTAGCGTGAGAGGCACAGTCTTCCTAGTGACAGATCGTGCCCTGGTTTTGGTTCACCAGTCTCATTGTGCTGTGTTTCAGCTTACGCTGCAAAGCCTCTCTTTTCATTATGCTTTTTGAGTGTTGTGAGGGCTGTCATGAGATAGGTGTGGTTACTGTAGACTTTTACAAATTAAGGAGGACAGGTCTGATTGTTCTGGGATCAACTAGATGATAAAACAGATCAGCATCATCAGCTCTGACGTCACATGTATCATTGAATTTCTTACTTGCTTCATCTTTCAAATTTGATGATTTATCTGCACTACAGTAGAGCTTCTTTTCTATGAAAAGAACATCCATTCCTGAATTTAAATTTTTCAGTGGTGGAGATTACCACAATACTTAAAGCTGTACTTTTTTTCTACACTTCCCTGGATTTTGCTTCCAACCTCTTGAGCTGTGTGTTTGCATCTGAGAACAGCTGGGAGAGCTGTATTCTCTGCAAATGTTGGTCCTTATGTGGATATTTGCAGCCTGTGATCAAAATGACGCCAACGTTCCTACTGATTAACTGAACAGACTGAAATCTTGGAATCTCAGTAAGGTGTATTTGTATTTTCCAGTTCTTTCTAATACATCCACAGGACTCTGCTTTGAATCTTCAGAAGTTGGGTGCAAATGTTGACTGAAATATTTTTTATACTGACGTATCTTTATTTACAGTTTTATGTGAACGTGTTTTGTTATAAGAAATAAATAAGTGTGAAAATGGAAACTGGTTCTCCAATAACTTATAGTGCCAGCTACATGGACAAAGACAGTAGCATCTTTTTGCAAGTGCCAGTGGGACTTTAAGGTATAAAATAGATGAAGTTAAAAACAGTGAACAAAGACACTTCAATTAATTACTCTCTTGCAGCCTTCAGGCAATGATTTTCTCACTTGGGTTCCTGCAGTTTTAAAGAAAATGGAATAGGAATTATATGAGGTCAGCACTGCTACCTAAAATTATCCAGTGACATCCTACCATGATGAACTTGCTGTAAAAGGATTAAAAGTATGTTGCTTGTTCAGTATTTCTTCTTATGCACATAAAAGGAGTGGAAACTTTGTTTTGGTCTCTACCAGTAAAAAATGGCCATTTTGAAAAATCTAAGATAAATCCAAATTTGTTGTGGCCCATTGGATTATGAAAAGATATGGCGTAGGAGCAATATCTCAAAACATCAGTAAATGTAGGATAAGGGATGGACATGACAGGGTCAGCAGGGAACTGCAGCTACAATCTATTATTACTGTCTAATATTCCCTGTGTGGGGATCCCATGAGAATGCAGTATTGATCAGCATATTTCTAGGTTACAAAGATTTTTACCAGCTTTTTTTTTTTTTTTTTTCTCTTAAACAGGTGAAGTTAAATGTGAGGCACCAAATAACAAGCTGGATAAGTTCACAGGAACTCTTACTCTTCGAGGAGAGAAGTATGCCCTGGACAATGAGAAGATGTTGCTGAGGGGCTGTACTATTAGGAACACAGAGTGGTGCTTTGGTCTCGTTATTTATGCTGGTGGGTAGAAAAACTGACATGTGAATTGCAAAGCACAAAAGCTTTAGCACAGGAGCACATCACACTAGTAAGGACAAATGAACCAAATAGTTTCCTCTTTGGAAAATATGTTTCTAACTGCTAAAACCAAAATAATAATAATAATAATAATTCAAAACAATACATGCAATCCCTTAGTTTAAAACTAGGCTAGGAATTTTGCATACCATAGGGGATTTTAACCTGAAATTTTTAACATTGGTCTATAAGAGAAAACTCAGTTGCAAATGATATAACATCCCATTCAATCTTACTTAAATGTTTTTGTTAGCAGAGGCAGGCTCTTATTTCAGAAAAACATGCAGCGAAGTATATGAGAAAAGTCTTGGTCACTCAATATGAAAGCACTTAAGAATTAAATCTAAATTAAATCTGCCATTAGTGACCCATGTTGGGTCAATACGAGTCTCTCTGCCCAGACTTGTTCAAAATTTCCTACTCTTAAGTATATCCAGTTAAAAATTCCACAGCATTTCTATATGACTTCAATCCGTATTGGAATATCACAGTCATCAATGATATTGTTGTAGACTATTACTATATTGCTTTTTACAAGCATAGACCTTCTATTGTTTCTATAGTGCTGTAGACATATGAGACAATGTATAATATGTCACTAATAACAGAGCAGTATCAGGTATTCTGTGAAAAGTAATTCAACCTGAAAGGGAGGATTGACTGCTGAAAGAAGAGAATGGATCAAAATACAGAATTAATGGCTTTATGTGACTCTCTCCATATAATCTAAGGGAAGAGACTTAACCTTTTTCTGCCTAAATTTCCCACTAGCCCTGTAAACTGTATGGGTTCTGATGGGTATCTATGCTGTAGAGCAAAGTGAGGCCTCAGAGGGAAAAGGCTTTAGAACTGCTAAGCTTTATTTCTAAAATTAATGAACTTGTTTCATCTCCAGGGCCAGACACTAAACTAATGCAGAACAGTGGAAAAACAACTTTTAAGAGGACAAGCATTGATCGGCTCATGAACGTCCTTGTGTTGATGGTAAGTCCGATTAGTTTAGCTTAATTTCTTCAGATGTGTTCATCATTTCCAGATGCTCCACCTCTTTGTCCACACGAATGAGGGAGTATCAGAAGTGACTCGTGATAAAAAGAAAAATTCTGTAGAAATGTATTAGCAGACTGAGTCCTGCAGTGCCTCTGCGAACCCATCTTGCAAAGCAAGGCCATTATATTGACAATGTTAAGAACCTTTCTTATCAGCTTTTCATTTGCTGTGCTCTCGCTTGCTTTACTTTTTTTTTCTTTTTTTTTTTTTTTCTTGTGAGAATCACTTTGAAGCCCACAAATGCCTTTTTCCCTAGTAATTTTGTCATTTTATATTTATATAAACATTAGCAGTTCTGTCTCTTCTTCCTGGATTCTTGGCATCTTTGATATCTGTATAGGACTTGGTAATTGAGCTTGTTAATTTACATGATGCCAGCTTTTGTCTTATCACATTAGGGTAAAAAAGTTAGACACGGTCCTGCTAATACCCAGAAACTGGTGTTTTTAGCAGCTGGCAAATTTGAGAACACTAATCTTACATCACAGGCACTCTCCACAGATGATAAAACAGATCTAAGCTGAGGTTTATGCTAGCCAGTAGTTGTAACAAATGGCAAACGCTTCCAGGCAGAGGTAGCGATTCTTTTGCAGACTCCCTCAGATTTTACCTCTCGAGTTCAAAGCTGCTCAGGGAAGGGACTGTTCTGGTTGTTACTGCTCTTCTTCAGAGACATGCATTCTGATGATGTTTTACTCAATGCTGTTTGAAGAAAAGCTATTTATTTTCAAGGATTTATTTTACTTCAGAAGCAATCATGTTGTGCTATTTCATGCATGCTGCACTGCCTTCAATTTGTGACACTGAGAAGGTCTGGCTGCTCCTGTGGTCACACATCAGTGCCATCTGTTTCCCTTTCTTCCCTCCTGCCCTTGCTCTCCATCCCACCCTGGCAGCCAGGCTGGGGGCCAGATCCATCCCATGGTACTAGAGCAAGCTGTGGGGAAGACAGAGCTCAAGGTGTCCAACAGCATCCTGCCTACCACAGCCCAGGGCAAAGCCTGTGCAGGGCTGTTCTGAGCTCTCCCTGCCCTCTGTGAGTGTATGCCTCATAGCACAAGTATCTCCAGGCCCATCCTGGACAATTCATCCCAGACCTTGTCCTCTTGTTTCTCTCTCAGACTCCCAAAAGCTCTTTAGCTGGGTCCCAGGGTGGGAGACATGGTTGGGTAGAGCAGGTTGAAACAGTGGTTAGACTGACTGTCAGTGCTGTGAAGCAGCGTCCTGCTCATCTGCATGTGCATATTTGCTGTAAAGCAATGCCACAGCACAGAGAGCCACTCCAGGGTCGTCTTCAGGCCCTCTGGAGTCCTTGCTCAGTGTGCAGTGAGGACACTCCCTTGACTTTAGTAACACCAATCTCTGCCAAGTGAAATTCTTGCCTATCCTCATCAGCTTGTTTTCTTCCCTTGAACTTAAAGGGACAGCAAAACCATGTAAGGTTTGGACATCTAACATTCAGATTTTTGCAGGTTTCTGAAAAACTTCATGTTTTTAAACATGCTCTGCTACATCTGGGACAGAGATGTCAGGGATCCAAAGAGCAAAGGAATGGAGCAGAGAAAAACTGTGCAGCGAACTCAGAATTTAGCACTCAGTGAAGGTTTGCCAAAAGTTCTTTCGCAAGTCAAGGGTCCCACCCAGAGCTTTCAGTCTGTTTGGCCTCTCTTCATCAATGCGAGCAAGATGGATTTACTTCTTGGATCCGTTAAAAAAAAAAAAAAAAAAGAATTAAAAAAGAGAGCAAGTTGCAGTGGATTGCATCAGCCTCTGCCTGGGTTCCGCGGCTCTGTTGGAGCTAAGCATGAGTTTTTCTACTTTATGCATTTTTAAGGCACCTAACATTTTGGTGTCTAAGTACAGCTCTGCCCTAACTCAAGAAACAGGCTCTTGGCACACCAAAGGGGATGTGGCACCAGGTCTTTCCAACAGTTTGGGTGGTCAAAGGTTGCGAAGCACAGTCATAAAAAGAGGCACTATATTGCTCTCTTGAGTTTGGAAATACAAGCAGTCACAGCTTGCTATAAATAGCTTATTTTAGCTTAACGAAACTTGTTCCACGTTAACACTGGCAAAGCTATTTTGTGTTTAATTGTCCATAAAACTTCAGGGACAAATCAGTTTTTTGGCAGGGCATGCCAACAGAGACCTGGTTCAGCATTGATCCTGGTCTGTCCCAACAGGGGTTAATTGCAAATAAACCTTTCCAGATGGAAACCATCACTGTTTGTTCATGTTTGGGAGCATTTCTCTCTGCAAGGCTCTTTGGCAGCACAGGGCAGAAAACAGCAGGAGAGGAACACAGCATTTCTTGGGGAAAGACGTGAATATTCTTCGGCCAGGGCCACTACTGCCAAAGCCAGGAATGGTTTTTCCTCCAAAACTTTCCTTCTTTTTTTTTTTTTTCAGGTTTGGGGAGGCACATTTTCAGAGAAATATAGCTGTCAGCTTCATCACTAAATGCCTTATTGCATAAAATCCCAGAGCAGAGCTCAAAGTGCCAGCAAAGAATCTGAGACTGTTTTAATTCTTTGTCCGAAAAGAAATGTCTATCCAAAGTCAGCTCCTCCTTCCAGAAATCTGACTCAGTCCTGCAGAGGATCCATCTCTGCACAGGCAGGTCCCTGAGAGGGAGGCTGCTGATGGTGGGAAGTGTCCCCCGTCTGTGATCAGGTTTATTCACATCCTTCTCTTGCAGAGCTGCGGCAATGATTGCAACACACTACACGCAGTTGTTTCTCTGTAGAGAAATTAATCTCTGGGGCCACTGTTAACGGTTTGTCTTTCACATTTTTCTGAAAGCAAACAGCATGTTAGTGGTCTTTGTGCAAGCATGAGGGCTGCACACAAATTGAGCTGTTAGGGACAAGAGCATTATCATGGAAAGTGGGCATGAAGCAAAATAAAATCATAAAACAAATGCAGTAGTAGACACGAGCTGCAGTATTACAGGAGAGTTCAGTTGTCTTGCCCCACATGTTTGTCTGTTGCTAAATCATACACTGAATTTTCTATATAGATTCATGATGACAAACTGACAAATTTTAACCTGTGGGGCAATGAGGAATCATTCAGGGTACAGCGATAGGATAAAAGAGCCAAGTGCCTTTTTTAATTCATTTCCTTTATAACAGACAAGGTCTGCAGAGAGAAGTCATATCTTTTTCTTGACCAACTGAAATACCTCTAAAAATGGATGGGCTCATCTCTTTTCTCCATCTATTGGCTTAATAAAGGACATAACCTGTTCCTGGGTCATGCCTCTCACATATCCTTAGATCATCCTGATTACAACAGCTCAAAATGAAGTCTGTTTTTAGTGCTGGCCACGGAGGTTTATGAACACCACACCACATTCCTTACTAGCAAGCAATATTGTCTGCATTTCACCAGTGGGGTAATTTATTGGGCTTCCCACAGTTACTCAGAAAAACTACTACTGTTGTGGGAAATAAACATGCCTCCTGAAATTCAGCCCAATTCCTCTATTTGCGGAAGTCTCCATTTACTATCTTCTAGGTATTAAAACTCAAGTTGGTTGGACTTTTAACCAAGTGATTCAAGTCACACCGTAAAGTATCATTCTCCCCTTCACAGGTTACCTCAGCAATGCAAACATCTGCTCTACCAGCAATGTTTTTACATTTGTACCACAATTGTTGTTTCAAAAATAGTTGGTTACTGTTGTAATGTGGTTATTGCTGAGTGGCCTTATACATAATGGCCCAGTGAACTGATATTTCCTCTAATGACTAATTATTATAATTACTAATAATGAACTAATGACCCTAGTTGCAAGAGATTTTTAATTGTGCTGTTGTGCAGCCTGCTGATTCCATGTCTTCACATTTTTAATAGGATGGTAGATTTTTAAGGCAAATATTTGGAGAAGTTGATATCAACAGAATTCTTTTCATTATCATTTGTCCAGGAATGATGTCATGCTAGCTTCTGTTTATCTTTCCCACAGTCACCATTTCAACCTTTGAAATATTGTAATTATGTTAACAGATTTTCAGTATGGTGGAACTTCACAGTTTTAAAGCATTGTTAAAAATTAACTTAATTTGTTAAGAAAATTTCTCAGTCCCTTCAAGCTTTCAGCTTTAAATTACCTGGACACACTGATTTGAAAATGGTTATTATTAGCAGGTAGAGACACATATTGTTCCTTGTCACAGTAGGTATACTGTCTTTTCCATCTGCTACATCATATGGGATAGATACATCCTTCTGCTTCATTCCTCCATCATTCATGGAGGAACGTCTGCCGAATGTCTGCCTTTTCCACAACTCTGTTACTGAGTTCACTGTTTTCTTGGTATTTGCATCACTATTAGCTAGTCACAGTTCTGTAATTCACTGCGGTTCATATTCATTTGTATTAGCTTTCCTTCTCCCCCTTCTTTTTGTTTTCTTTTCCAACTAATTGTATAGCTATATTCTTATCTTTTAACAACAACCAAAATACAAACAAAGAAACAACTTTTATGACCTATGTAATGCTTTTGTGTGTATGAAATTGTGTTCCTGAGCAAGTCCCCGTTTTCATTACGGTGTCCCACTTTGGAATTTTCTTCCCAGTTGCTGTTTCCCTGATTGCTTTAGGCTTCATGAAATAGGCCTCCCTAAAGTCCAAGGATACACCTCACTGGTTTCTGTTGCTTTCTGTTTGCTCAAATGAAATGTAATCAGATTGTGATGGCAGGTACCAAGGCAACCATTAGTTCTAAGTCAGTGATTAACTCTCCTTTAACCATCAGAAGGGTATCCAGTGCTGAATTCCACCCTGCACAGTGCTGGATTTCATGAATTACAAATTATCTTTACTAATTTTTCAGAAATGGTGAGGAAACTATGGTACATCTGGCTAACAGTCAGAAGTCCTCCAGGGAGTTTCTATTCCCAAACACACAGCCAGATATTTGAAGAGTAGCAGCTCAACTCACCTCTAATGAAATCTGATGTTCTGCAGCCCGCTGCCCATGAACACCCTGTTTTAGAACTCTACTTAAAATTACTCTACTTTCTACTTAAAGCCCCAAATCCCTAAAGACTTCATAGTATAGTGGCATCTTTGAGACAAAGCATCAGATTTTTGCCTGTTTTCCTCCTGCACTCCTACGAGCCTTCCTCAGTGATTCAAGCTGTTCAACCCCTTTTGATTAGGGTCATCCAATTAACCTGTATATAACAAATTCTGTTTCTAATATGTAGTTTCTTTTTTTTTTTTTTTCCTCCAGATCTTTGGATTTTTAGCACTGATGTGTCTTATCCTAGCCATTGGCAATGGCATCTGGGAGTCTGATAAGGGCTACAACTTCCAAGTCTATCTGCCCTGGGCAGAGGGTGTCAACTCTGCCTCCTACTCCGGCTTCCTCATGTTCTGGTCATACGTGATCATTCTAAACACAGTGGTGCCGATTTCACTCTACGTCAGGTACGTGCCAGAACCTCCTTTCATGTTTCACCTAGGAGAGTTTTAGCTTTTGTCTCATCTGGGAGCAGAATTTTCCTGGACATAAATGCAACCCCATTTTGGATGATCCCACACAGCCAAGGCCAGCTCTCTATGCTGCTGACATCTAGTGAAGACATCTCATAGGCACCGTTTTTCTGTGGGTCTTAACAAGCCCTGTATCATTTTAAAAGGACAGGGGGGTAAAAACATGTTGTCTTTTTCAGTGAGACCCTATCTTCTTTTCCCTATGTCCAAACATTATTTGACAGGGCCTAAAAACATTTTGATGGGTAACTCCACAACCCGGTGGCGCTTTGCTTCTCTGCTTTCTGCTGGCTTCAGTGGGCTTTGTCAGGGCTAGAGCTGAGACAGCAGTGAGCCCTGGAGCAGGAGAGGATGACTTTGCATTTGGACGAGAGGTGTAAGGGCAGGATGCTATAGGAGTGAGACTGGAAACCTGCTACTCGTAGCTTCGTGCTCCCTCCCATTTGCATTGCCAACCAAAGTGAAAAGCACATTCTTTGAGGTGGCTTCAAGGCTCAGGTGAGGGGTGGATTGCCAGGTAAGTAGGTGTAATTAGGCTGAGGATCTCTAGTGCTTGGTGCTGCATGGACACAGTCAGCTCCATCACTTCCCAGAGAACACAGTGCTGCATTGCTTGTTGCAGATAGGCAAGCAGGGTTAAAGGCTAGGAATTGTGAAGAAGTTGCCTCCAAAACCTTGAGGCTGCAGTGTAGACTGATTAGGCTGGTATAGTTTATCGCTGAATCCAACTCTTCAGGGAGAATTGCTTCTGACTGCAGAGCAAACCCTTGCCGTGTGATTCACAGAGAGCGTTTGTGAAAAGTTTGTGATGTCAAACTGCAAAAGACAGATCTTAGCTACTGGTGCTGCCCTTTCCCTGCAGCTGCTGGGAGGATGAGGAGTTACACGCAGAGCTGCAGGGTCGGAAGTTGTATTCTAAGACTCTTTTGTGTTGGTAAATACGAGGAATTCACCCTGTTCCTCCCCAGTGTGTCAAACCAGCAGCAAAGTGGAAATTCATGCTGTCTGTGAGCTGATACTGCTTGATGATTGTATTGAGTTACACAGTGACTCACTTGTTCTCATGGTCGGGGTTGCTTGCACTCATCCCCGGGCACCACAGAGCAGATCAGCCCTGAATTTCACTAAAAACATTCCTTAAACTGCACAAAATGAAACACCCTGCTGCTCCTGCTGCTGCTTCGCTTTTCAGTCTGCTTGCCTGCCATGCATGAACGACTGCCACTTGTTCACAGCAGGGTTAATGTAGCATAGGGGTTGTCTGGGTGAAAATGATGTATTGGTGGTTTTCTTAACTCATTGCCCAGCCTATGGACGTCTGTCACAATATAAAAGTAGCCTCAACTGAAGCAAGTGCAGGCTGAAAGAAAGCATCAGATTTTCAAAATTTCCTGTGTACTGCTGAAACTTCTCAAATGTATTTATGAGAAGTTGTTCTATAAACAAGGGAAATGAATTTACTATAAGCCTATCTGATCATTTCAGTGAGGCTTGCTTCAGCTTTGCTTACAACAGGCGACTTAAGGACAACCTGATGAGTACGCCCTGTCATTGCCTTCAAGGTTGTCTTCTAGCTGCAGTTGCTGATGGTAGCTGAAGATAAAGATCTTGTCCTTTAAACTAATAAATATTCCATCGCCTTCTCTTTTGGATTTACCAGTGTAGAGATTATACGCTTGGGTAACAGTTTCTACATTGACTGGGACCGCAAGATGTATTACCCACTGAACGACACGCCAGCCCAGGCCCGTACCACTACACTCAACGAAGAGCTGGGGCAGATCAAGTACATCTTCTCGGACAAAACAGGGACCCTCACTCAGAACATCATGTGTTTCAACAAGTGCTCCATCAACGGCAAATCCTACGGTATATTATCCATTCGTCATATTCTCTGGGTTTTACACCTCTCGGTAGAGAGAAACTAAATATGATATCCAGAAGAGAGTGTTTTATAAGAAGCTGCAGGATCAAGTACAGGGCTATCTGTCAGATATACCTGGGCAGCTCAGATATTATATTATTTAAATAGATTAATATCATTTTCCTGTCCTTTGCTTCCCCTTTTTGCTACCCCTTTACCGCCCTTTTCCTGCCCCAGTATCCACTGAAATAAAGAATCTGCACCTTATTACTTTTTCCCGCATTGTAGTTTTACTACATCTGTACCCAAATGTGTTCTTTTTTCTGATATCACTACCTAGGTGATCTCAGCCTTTCGTGGTATTACTGATATGGTTACCCAGCCATTACTAACCCTGCAAAACTCTACTCCCCCAGACACCCCAGTCTTCCAGCTATATGTGGGGTGCAGGTGTTTCTCATGATTCCCGCTTATCTGTTTGTGAAATCAGCCAGTCCTCACAGTGCTGTCTGTAACTTTTGTCAGCTACTTATACTGCTACCTCTCCCATTCAGTAATTTCTCCCATCATGAGCAGTGGTTTTCCAAATCCTTTTTAGGTTGCTTAACCTTCAGTCAGTGCCTAGTCAATGGCATGGTCATTCATCTGCAGCCCTAGCTTACGTGACCTACCAGAAGAAAAGTTTGTAGGGAGTTGGAAAAGTTGGTAGCATTGTTAGATCCTAATAATCATTGATATAACAGGCTCCTTCATTGTACAGCCCCAGGCAATTTCCTTCACCCTCCTCAGGAGGTGCTAACCGTTCACAAACTGACTAATTGATTAACATCATTACATTCCCCCAGAGAAATTAGTCACATCCTATTTGGAGATGGATGTTGTTTTGCCTGTATCAGACCTGCTGATGGACTGATGTGCCAGAAAGCTTGTCTCTTTTTTTTTTCTTTTTTTTTTTTTTTTTCCCAGTGGAGACTTTTGGTCTAATTAAAGGAGTTACTTCTTCCTATAAATCTTACTTTGTCTGTATTTGGGCAGCACAACGTCTGTAAAAGTACTGTTATGCTGACCAGAGCTGGTGCTGCTAAACAGTTTTTAAAATTTCAGTCTGTTTATTCATATATCCTGTAGTTTATTTTTCTGAAGTGGATGTCACCAGTGTTAACATAGACATAGGATGTGTGTTCAAGAAATGAACGGGAAATAAGTGGAAAGAATGCAGACAGTCTACTGCCTATTTTTTTCTAAATGCTTAGCTAATTCTCCAGAATACTTTGGATTTTACGCTCGTGGCATTTTTGAAAGCCATGCCAAAAGAAAGAATGAATTGGTTCTGCTGCCAGGAAGGAGGCTGTAGAGGCTTAGGCTCCGCATTGAGGAGAAGGTGTCGAATAGCCTTTTGGTTACAGTTCCCAGCGGGATCAACCGATGTGCAGTTCTCAGGAAAGATTGCTTCTGAGTTTCTTTCTACAACTTCAGGGCTTTTATGAGGGACTACTAGTAATTAGAATTGGCTGTAGTCATCACAGTTGAGGTTGCTGATACAGGTATGGATTGGTCATTCATGTACTTTGCTGTATTTCAATCTTATTTCAATGAAGTATTGAATCTGGCCGGCCTGGACACAGTCCAGAGCTTCCTAGTGAAATTTTTGTTCAGGCTTCAGTAGTGAAACTCCATTCACTGGGGATGAGACGTCATTCATTTCTCTGACTAGATTATCACTTCAGGGATATCAGGGATTATCAAGCAGCCTTGCTACCTAAGCATGGGAAGAAGGGGCTTTGACAACTTCTCTTTGGTTGTCCAGGAACTGTTACAATCCCAATATAATCCTGGAGCCGGATTTTGTCTCCCATTCTGAAAGAAAGGCACAAGAGAAGTCATACCCTGAAAACACTCTCCTAGCACTATGTTCCTTCTGGGCAGAAGCCAATTCTTTACTCAAATGCCAGTCATCTTTACGGCAACTGCTTTTTGTTTTCAGCATCTGTCAGTCTTTGGATTTTATCATGGATTGACGTAGGATCTGATTTATATGAATCATCAGTCCCCAGTCCCCATTTCAAGCTGTTTGTGCTACTGAAACTTTTTAATTTGATACTAGCTTCAAAACACTTTATTTATTTTATTTATTAAATCTATCTATTTGTTTATTTTTGGTAGAAAAGCTCGGAGACAGCTCTTATCTGAGGCTTATGGCTATAACCTCAGTCTTTCTTGCTTGCAGGTGATGTGTATGACATGTCTGGACAAAGGATAGAAATAACTGAGGTAAGTGCTCAAGTGGTAGCAGAATCTCTGCTTTCTGTGAACCTGCCTCCATAGGTGCCAGTGGACAAATCCCATCCAGGCATAGCTCACATTCATGCTGCTCCTCTTGATCCTGACAGCATGAAATCGTGTTCTTGTGGACATCAGAGGCTCGTCAGAGTTGCATTCCCTTCCAGTAAGGCTGCTTTGAATTTGCAGGGTGGGCAGCCTGAGTATCCACTGTTCCTTCAGCTTCACATGACATCCTACTGCATGCACAGTTCCTCTGAACACTTGGCCATTGATATTGGTTGGAAACTTGGACACTGATGAATTTTATTATCCTTGGCAGTGAATTAAAGTTCTGGCTGGGAATCAGTGAGTTCAGTTCATATGCATAACAAGGTCACTGTCAAATTCCCCTATGTCTGGACACTGGAAAGTGTGAAAATGACTGGCTTCTCCATTTCTATCCAGCCTGTTTGTTGGCACAAACCCGCATCTTGGATTTCATTGCTTAAAATGTCTGAAAACTGCAAGCAGTGATCCAAGTAACAAATGGCAAAATGATGACGAAAATCCCACTCCTCATTCCAGTGATTCATTTCCAGGCACTTTAAAACTACGCACTGAAATTGGCTGCTTGTACTGAGCGCTGGCCCACCAGGCTGCCCTCACTCCAGCAGCAAAATTTCAAAGGGCTGGCTTGCTGGGGGAGAGACGCTGGTCTCCTGCCAATTCACCACCAGGCAGCTCCTCCTGCCCCTGCTACAAGATAGAGCAGAGTCTTGCAGGTTAAAAGGACGCTGCCCACATATTCATGGGGTTGGAGTGTCCAGGCCTTCTTGCGCAAATCAGTGTAGGTGGGGGGGCTGTGCTCTTGTGGCAAGTGCTGACTGTCAGCTGGAGCAGGTCAGAAGGATGCATGACTCCCATCCTGGAAACTCTGAGCTCACTGGGATGGGGCGGGAGTTGGGATCATCCCGGGCAGGCTCTGCAGTGCATTCCTCCGTGACATTTCATGCTTTGAGCTTCTGGCTGTTTCTCCACTGTTCCCCTCTGCTTGGGACTCCTTGTTTTCGGACAATAAGGGCGGTGCCTGTGGAGCTGAACCTTTACATCACTTGTCTGTCATCTTTTTCCATATCAGGGCTTTTTCTTGCTTTGGGAGAATAGGGTGGGGAACACAGCCTTTAGAATTTGGCCTCCCCACACAGCTATCCTGGACAAGCATTGAAATCAGGAGGATGATGTCTCAAAGCAGCTGTGTTCTGAAGGCAGGCATTTCTTTAGCAGGGATCCTGTAGGAAAATATGCTTTGGTAGAGCGAGGCATCTTTTTGGGTAATCAAGACTATCAGCCTGAGTGCTGCTCTGAAAGGCATCTCAGGTGCCTGCCCTTTGCTTCAACTCAGTAGCTTTTGAGGCTTCCCACTTACTCAGATTGATCAGTCTCTGTCATGAACAGCCCTGCAGGAGAGGGACCTCTGTAAATGTAAGGAAGAGAGGGGCGCTGTCATGGGCAGGCATCAGTGGGCAGCCATCAGAGAGCTCTAGAAATAACACAAAGCCATGTTTTTGCAGAACACGGAGAAGGTTGATTTCTCCTACAACCCGTTAGCCGACCCAAAGTTTGCCTTCTATGACCACAGCCTGGTCGAAGCTGTGAAGCTGAGTGATGTCCCAACCCACAGGTTCTTCCGCCTGCTCTCACTTTGTCACACAGTGATGCCAGAAGAGAAGAAAGAAGGTGAGGACTGTTAAAGGTACCAGACTGAGTGGTTCTGTTCACCTTGCACCACCACAGTGTGTCTGCTCTTCACAGAAGCTGTTACCGGTCCTTTTGGCTCCCCGGTGATTTTCTGTTGCATGGCAACACATAAATTAGTGTTTTTGGAGTTGCCACATGGGAGCAGAAAGGACCAGAGCCTCTAATCCCTGTGTGTTTCTGTGGTGGAGATGTCATTACTGCCACCACCACACCTCACGTGCAGAAACTGCAGGTGCCACAGCTTTCCTGTGGTGGCAGACAGCTTGCCCAGCTCCTTTTCTATTCCATACATAGATAACTGCTACAAAAAAAAAAAATCTTTTATTTTATATTTATTAATATCAGAAACAAAGTAGAAGCCTTTTTGTTTTTTTCTTGTGTGTCAGGTAACTTGGTGTATCAGGCCCAGTCTCCTGATGAGGGAGCCCTTGTCACTGCTGCCAGAAACTTTGGATTTGTGTTCCGGGCTCGCACACCAGAGACCATCACTGTTGTGGAAATGGGAGAAACGAAAATCTACAAACTGCTGGCTATTCTCGACTTCAACAATGTCCGCAAGCGAATGTCAGTTATCGGTATGTTCCTTTTGCTCCCTTCTTCATGGCTTTTCAGGCTTTTAAGCGCCTTTACTGGCAGCAGGACCAGTACCCCAAGAACAAGTTGTTCTTGACTTTTGAATGCAGATGTCCTGCCTGAAGATCTGCTTGTAGGGACCACAGAGTCCAACAGAGCATCTGCTCAGACCAGTGCAATCAGGGTGTATTTGCCTGTGCTGCTACCACTAAGGCTGATGGTAGTTGCATTATCTACTGTTCTAAGCAAAGCTCGTCTTGATTCCTGGGAGTTTGCCATCACTTGGTAGAGTTTGGATATGACTGAAAACCTTTGTTTAGATGCAAGTGCTATGAGTCTTGAGTGCTTCAGTCTGGTATGTGTAGAATTTCTCTCTTCTTCCTTATAGTGCGGAGTCCAGAAGGGGACTTGACTTTATACTGCAAGGGGGCTGACACCATTCTTTATGAACTGCTTCATCCATCCTGTGATTCTCTCAAGGAGGAGACCACCGAACATCTGAATGTAAGTGTTTTCTTCTGCACTGCAAATCTGCATTTGATGGTTGCCTTTTCTCCAGGTACAGAAATGTAATTTCTTGAGACAGAATACAGATTTTAGAAGCAGCGCCCAAACACCAAATGTATGTGTATGTGTATATGTATGTGTATGTATATTTCATGGGGGATTAAGAGGGAAATTAATTTCTAAAGCTTTAGGTATCAAATCAGCTTTCACCAGTACCGTTTGAACTGCCCTAGGTTACCCAGAACATCTGGATGTGGATGTCAAATACAATGCAGGACATTCAGAAGAGCTGCATTACTATAGGTTAGGAAGTGGAAGCCAAGCAGACCAGGGGAAACACCCAAAATAGCACTATATATCTGTGTTCTGGCAGCTAAATCCCATCCAATTCTGCTGTTTTTGTACAATGCAGGTACTCAGCATACGCAGGCATGCCTTGATTGGAATAATTCAGGTGAATACAATCCAAATCTGCAGTGATTGTGGTCTGAGAGGCCTCAGTCAGAAGAGACTGAGCAGGTCTGGGGCATAGTTGTGGAATCCCCATCCCTGGAAGTGTTCAAGGCCAGGTTCGATGGGACTTTGAACAACCTCACCTGGTAGGAGGTGTTCCTGCCCATGGCAGATGGCTGGAACTGGATGGTCTTTAAGACCCTTTCCAACCCAACCCAATCTGTGATTCTATGAGAGTCTCCTTTCCCTTCCCTTTTTCCAGATCATATATGGGCTTGTTGGCCGGGCAGCAAGCAAAATGCAGCAGTCAAACCTCGTGGCTTTTTATATTGGCGGTGTAGAGTAAAATGCAGTGAGAGGTGGATGTCCTGGCCAACATCTACTCCCTCTGTTGATGCCAGCTCCTGCTGGTACGGAGCAGAGCACAAGATAACAGAAAGATTTGCCAGGGAGGTTGAGCAATAGCACAAACATCCCTGCTCACTGCCTGGGGGAGCCAGAGAACATTGTGTGTGAAGGAGAGGTCAGAGCCTGGGGAGATGAGCTGTGGATGTGGCCTGTCCTTGATCATAGAATCATAGAATATCCTGAGTTGGAAGGGACCCTTAAGGATCATCAAGTCCAACTCTGCACCTTTACTTCAGATCTGCTCTTTTGGAATCCCAAAACAGAAAGAAAGTGGATGTCCTGTTATGGAGGGAAGCCTCAGTGTGCAGAGAGGGGTCTCAGTTATTCCACCAAACACAGAATTGTACTGTCAAACACTGAGAAATGTACTGTCAGTTGTACATCTACAGAAAGCACACTTACAAGGACTTGGAGAGATGTAATGAGTGATTGTGCTCATCCTGAATATTTAGGTCAGCCCCTCAGCAAGTTGAGTGCAGCTCTGAAACTCAAGGCAGAGTTCAGCGTGTTTTATTTAGGTCTTACTATTCTGAACCTCATGTTGAGAAATGTGAACCTGGCAAACAACTGCCTGATTGATGTAAAGTTTTAGACCAAGAATATAAGAGAGGCCTTTTAAATTTGTTCTTTGTAAGGATGTAAAAGTGACCTGGAACTAGTTTTTAAAAAGCGCCCTGAGGTTTGTGGTCTAAGGTGTGTTTTTTTTCACCTTTCCTCTGCAGACATTAGGTAACAAGTTTTCACAAATAGATGTTTGCTTTCAGAGAGTCTTTTGTAAACCAGAGCAAGGAGTCTGTTCTCCTTTGACTTATTCTGCCTCACCACTGTCTCGCAGGAGTTTGCTGGGGAAGGTTTGAGGACACTCGTCGTGGCCTATAAAAACTTGGATGAAGAATACTTTCAGGACTGGATCAAGCGTCACCACGAAGCAAGCACTGCCTTGGAAGGACGGGAAGACAAATTGTCTGAGATATATGAAGAGATCGAAAAAGATCTAATGGTTGGTATTTCACAGAATCTGGGCCAAGCTCTGAGGGAGGCAGCCGAGATAGTGATTTGTGAACAAACAGCTCAGTGTGACTCCAGTAAACACTGCACTGCAAACAGCTCGGTGGGTTGTGTGACGGGAGTGGTTTGAAATATGGCAATGCTGGGCTTTTGCTGGCACCCCCGTGAGGAGCCAGTAACTGGGGTGTCAGCCACCAGTGCCTGGGAATGGTGTTATTTTAACTCACGTGGGTGTCAGAGTAGCTTTCTCATGATGAAGTGACATAGCAGAGCTTAAGGGAGATGACAGGGACACAAATATTTCATAGCCATCCTTTGTATGTGCAAGTGGCTGATCTATTTATTTTCCTCTCTTTGAAATGGCAGGCAGTGAATAATCCCCAGGTCCCCCTTCATTTCAGAGGGTGTTGTCTTTGTTCTTGCAGCCCTGGGCAGGATGGGGGGATGATGTCCACGAAGATGTTTGTGTCACTCTGAAATAGGACTAAACTTGTGATCTGCAAGTCATTCTTTTCTCCTTGAGTGTTGTTACAGCCCTGCGGTTTGCCTGTGCTTTACAGCCATGAATAATGAATGAAAAGGATGTGTGGGATCTGAGAGGAAGCAATTCAGCTTTTGCACTCACAGCAACTCTTTCCTGAGATCTTGGAAAGCTGGGGAGCTGCACTGTTGCTCCTTCATAAGCTGTGTGCTCAGGATGCCAGCAGGGCCTGGGAAGAAGCACATGTGAGCCTAGAAGAAGCAGCTGACCTCTGGAAGTTGCATAGTCCATAGGGCAGAGCCTGCTGCTCTCCCAGTCTCAGCAATGGGAAATGCTAATCCTGCAGCTCTGCAGATTACATCGTGCAAATGCTGTGTGGGTCATGTCCAAAGCAGGAATGACATGGAGGTTCAAGAAGTCAAGGAGACAGTTGTTTTGCACGTAAGGGTTATGAAGCTCATGGCCTGAGTAGAGACGAGGTCAGTGGCTCACAGGAGGAAGAAACATGGTTAGGAAGGAAACAGTTTACACCAGACCCTTCTCTGCACCCAGTGTGGAAATTATTTTACTTCCAGAAGGTGCTGCAGGGAAGGACAGAGAGTGGGTGTAGGAGTCCCTGACTTGTGAGAGTGAATGGATACAAGGGCCAGAGTCAGCACAGGAGTCGTGTGTAGGCATAGAAGGCTGCCAGGTATCACAGTGTGGTTGATGTCAAGAGCAGAAGTCCCTGTGCATAGCAGACCCATTCTGGGGTCCTTAGGGTGAGTAAGGATATAAAGACAGCAAGGAGGAATAGAGGCGGATCATGGTTATATTCAGGGAATAGTAGTAAACATACTATTTATCATTGATCAACCTAAAAATTAAGGAAAATGGATGTGGGAATGCACGCTCTTAGTCCGTGTTCCTGGGTGCATTTGACATTAGTGTTCATCTCTGGGCTTCCAAGGCAGAATCAGGCTGCCAGGAATGAGCAGGTCCTCCAGGAGGTGGCCTAGTATGCTTACAAGCACTTAAGCTCTCAGTAGCTGGACAAGGGACTCCTGCTGCAAAACATGGATTGTATAGTTTTCAAAAGCCTATGGAAAGTTTACGTGGTGTTGTTGTATGTATTAATAACACTCATAGCTGAGGATGATAAACATTCCAGGAAACCAAAATAGATCTTGTTCTTAAAGCCAGCCCTTGAATTTAGTCTCCCAACAGCAGTTTGGAGACAGGAATCCCCATCTGTCTTCATCCCTGTGTTAAATCTCTATCTGCTGTGAAGGCGACGTGGAAGAACATGGACCTGTAGGGGTGCAAACATGGCAATTAATTTCAGGCGTGTTCATGATCCAGCTGAGTCTGGGGGATTACAAAATAAAACATTTGTAGGATCAGGGCTCTACTCCATCCGGTACATTTCCTGAGGGATAATGAAAGTCAATGCAACCTTATACCTGGATTTCATTTGTGCTTGCTTGAGTAACCACATAGAGGTCTAATGCTTTCTCCCTTACTCACAATGGGAATACTCACCAGCTCCCTGTGTTTTTTTCTGTTAAGCTGCTAGGTGCCACAGCAATTGAGGACAAATTACAAGATGGGGTCCCGCAGACAATCGAGACTCTTGCCAAAGCCCACATTAAGATATGGGTTCTCACTGGAGACAAGCAAGGTAAAGGGGCTACAGCTCTGGATGTTTCCCTTCTCTTTCACTGGTGGGATGATTCTGCTAGGACCTGTGTTGTCATTGTCTCTCCTTTGAAAAACTGCACAGATGATAAATTTACAGGGCTTTGCTTCATTGCCAGCTAGACAAGCTCCAGTGAACTGGAATTAGACCAGGTAACTGTAGCTAGTGCCTGTTCCTAATTCCTGTCCTGAGGCTGGAAACAGTATGACAATAGCATCCTTTGCCATTGGAGAGGTGACAATGAGGATCCTGTAGCCTCTGTCTTATGCTGTAAAAAGATGTCACTTTAGTACGGTTGACTGTCCTGGTGAAGAAGTCATGAAAAAAATTTGGTCCCAGTTTCAAGGAACTTTGATGCTAACGTTGATCTTAGTTCTGTTTCAATGTAGTCCTGGAATTATATTCCAGAATGGAAATGGAGAAAACATAAGCTTCTGGAAAAGGCATTAAGTTGGAAAGAACTGTGAATAGAATCCAGTGATTTTTTTTTTTTTTCTCTCAGAAATAGCAAGCTTCCTGGAACAATGGTGTTTCCAGGGGACCAAAAGTAATTGTAAATTATTTTACACAAAAAAAACAAGCAGAACTTTTTTAAAAAATGAAGTGTCTCTATTTCATGTTAAGAATGAAATAGTTTTGCTTATAAAATACCAAAATACTTCCTTCCCCCCACCGCCACCCCACTAGAATATTCTAAATGAAATGTCTTGATACTCTTCAGAGCTGTGATTTGAGGCTTTTTTTGGAGGGAGAAGGGGAAGGAAAGCTAAGTATCCTGAATTTATTTTTTTTTTGAATCTACATGAAACATCTTGGTAACTCTAAGTATGCAGAATGAAGGGTCTTTTGAACTTTTTTATTTTAGTAGAATTATTTTTTTCCATTGCCTTATGAAGCTTGATTAGGAGAGATTTGCTGCTACGTCCATCAGGGTGACTCATCTAGCTGTATTAAACTGCTGGCTCTGAAAGGCTGCAAGGTGTTTTGAGTGAGAATGTGAGCTTTTGTCACGGGTGTAAAAAGTCCGCAGAGACTGTTGGTGGGTTTGGGGTACTAAGATGTGTCATCTTCTTGGTTTATCTTTCTCAGAGACAGCAATGAATATTGGTTACTCCTGCAACTTGCTGAATGATGACATGGCAGATGTTTTCGTTGTTGAAGGCAGCACGTCTGATGATGTACTTAGTGAACTCAGGTAAATGGCTGAAATATACAGCTTCATTACTCTGCACTTACAGTGGAATGGGGCAGTATGTTGTTATTCTTCTTTTTTATTTTATTTTTTATTTTTTATTTTTTATTTTTTATTTTTTATTTTTTATTTTTTTATTTTTTTTCTGTATGTTTACCTGATGTATCTCATTTCAGGGACTCTAGATAAGGGCTAGCCGATTTCCTGGAAGACCTAGCAGCTAGACATAGTGTAGAAATCTCCTGTGTGGATTAACTCTGAAACTTCTTGCACTAAGAGGCCAAATCTATATAAACGAATGAGACAGCAGTCTCAGTGCAAGCAACATCAATTGGCACTGGATAAATGATCTGGAGCCACAAAGCCAGACTTGATCTATTGTATTTCTCTACTGTTCATCCACATTACAATTTTTTGCTTGGATATGTTCCTTTTCTAGCATTATCTGGAAACCTAATTTCCTCCACAGCGTCCTCAGAAGACACAAGTTCTTAGATATAGGTGGAAAATTGGGAAGTTTTTCCATCCTTTTCAGTTGAAGTAGGTGGTTGTCAGACAACATGCATGGAAAATTGGGATCCCTTTGGGGTACTGTCCTTTGTGACATTCTGATGAGTTTTTTGACCTGTAGCAGCACAAGTTTAGCAAACACTTGTTAGAGTTTCAGAAGCACGTGGCTGATATGCACAAACAGCTGCAGCTAAACCATTCATGTTGTGGTAGGGATACAGGGAAAATTGAACTAAGTTAACAAAGGGAAGCATAAAATTTCTATTTTCATAAAGTTGATTAGTAAAGCATACATCTTTGCAAGAATTTAATTATTATCTGGATATTTTTACTTTTTTAGGAATGCAAGGAAAAAGATGAAGCCAGAGTCCTTTCTAGACAGTGATGAAATCAACATTCAGTTTGAAAAATCTTCCAAAAAAACAAAGATCCTACCTGATGAGCAAGCAAATGGGGTGTATGGTCTGGTCATCAACGGTCACAGCCTGGTAAGGAATGCTCAGAGTCATGATGGGACTCAATTTTCTTAGGAACTTAATAGGTTAGAATATGTTGGAAGTCTGAAAATGCTTTAAAAATTTAGCCACAGAGGGCTGCTCCTCCCTCCCTCCTACCCCCACTCCGATTGAAGATTAGCTCTAGTTGTTATCTGAGACATCAAAGATGATGGGCAAGGTTTCAGAAGACTGGAAAAGGGAAAAGCTGGTCCTGATGTTCAGTGAACAGGAGCAATAAAGATTATCCTTTACAGAAATATACTGGAAGAATAATCAGACACTCTGTGAATGCCCCAAGAAGATAACATCAAACATGGATTTTGAGTATGCCAAGAACGTATTCTACTAAATATATCTGATAACAGATAGAGTGTGTATCATATAATTTGACTAATAAATTGTTTGATGCTCTCTCCCATGATGTTGTTCCAAGCAAACTGAAGTAATATGGCCTAGATGAAATTTTTATGTGACAAATGCAAGACTGTTTGGCAGTATGGCTCATAAGGGTCTACTGTAGATCTGAAACAACAGCTAAGTGGTGTCTACAGGGGGCAATCTCACATCTATTCAATATTTAGTGTTTTAATTAACTGCCTACAAAGAGAGCAAGCTTCTTAAATCTGCAGATAACACCAGGCTGGGAGGAACTGCAGGGTAGAGAAAGAGTTCAAAATTAGATTTGAAAACAATTATGAAATATTGGAGAAATATGTTGAAAAAATGGAAAATGTAGTTCCAGAGAGAACAAATGCATCATCCTCCGCTTTCACATAACCAACTGAACATATAGAAATGTATGTATGTATGATCCTAAGACTTGTAAAACATGTGAAGAAATCCTCCTGCTCCATTTGGCATCAGTAAAATCTTAGCTGAAATAATTCAAGTTACTCAGGCCCTTTATTTTGAGAAAAATATAGGCCAACTAGAGAGAGTACAAAGAAAACTAAGATCATGTATGATCTGGAAAACATGGGGGAAAACTGAGAGCATTATGTTTCTGAGCCTAGAGAATACTGGAACTGTGTACATGTGGTCTTGCTGAAGCAGAGGGAAAGAGCAGAGCACAGCAGCATCTGCAATGGCATCTTCATACAGCTAGGTGATCTGCGTGCTATACCATTAATATAGTTTCTACATGGCGATATAGTTTCTGTATGGTGATTAATATAGTTTCTATGTGGTGATGTTTTGCTAGTGCCGTGCAGTCAGGGTGCTGTGTCCCTAGCTGCAGTGACTGGCATGTGCCCTAAAACCAAGCTAAGAAAGGTCTCTTGTTCCCTGCCCACCACTAATGGGAGGGAAGCAGAGGCACTGGTGACTCACAGCTTTTGGCTTTAAGAAAAAAAGACATCAGGCTAAAGGATGGTCCGCCTTACACTGAAAGGGCAGTGGGCCTGCTGTGATGGCTCTGAGGAAGAGAAAGTTGTGTAGATTCCTTCCATGAATGTCTACTGAGAAGAGACATAAACAAAGAATGGAGCCAAAACACAAAATTTGAAAGAACTACAAAAAAATAAGACTGCTCCTTCTCACGCAGAGCTGGAGAGGTGACCAGACATCCAATTAGCTGTATGTTTCCTGAATACAATTAACGTGGCTGACTGATTTAAAGGTCAGCACTCAGAGCAAAGTTGCATTTGCTCTGGTTTTGTGTTTTGCTTTCTTATGCTTACCTGAGCTAAAGCTGTTCTATGTGCATTTTTCTTTCCTTTAAGTAGTCCCAAATTGAAATCTGTTCTATTTATACCACAGATTTGGCAGGCAGAGCTTAAAAAATAAACCAAGAAGGATGAGCAAAGGCATGGAGATGGGCAGGGCTATCTCGGGCCCAGTAGCAGCTGCATGAATGCAGTGCCCCCTCTTCTGCTGCTTCAGCCAGAATGGCTGTTGTGCTCCTGTGTGATGGTTCAAAGGCCCAAATTCGTAGGTGTATCAAGGTTACTTACAGCGGTGAAGTGCAATGGGCATTTTGATGAGAAAAACACATATTGCATCAGCCTGGCCTGGAAGAACTTTCAGGCGTCTCGTACCTTCCTTGTGCTGAAGGCAAAACCAAACTCAGCTCTTATTTTCCTCCCACTGCATCCTCTTTGGGTGGCCACAGGCTGCTGCCAGTGTGTGACAAACTGCTAGGCACTGTCTTTGTCCTTTCTTCCCAGGCCTACGCGCTGGAAGAGAACCTGGAGCTGGAACTGGTGCGAACTGCCTGCATGTGCAAAGTGGTGATCTGCTGCCGGGTCACTCCGCTGCAGAAGGCCCAGGTGGTGGAGCTGGTGAAGAAGTACAAGAAAGCGGTGACCCTGGCCATCGGAGATGGTGCCAACGACGTCAGCATGATCAAAAGTGAGTAATGTCTGGCAGACGGCATGACCCAGCAAGCTGACTCGATGTCGTGTTTGCTAACTGGCTTGGCATCAGCAGTGCATCTCTGAGGGGCCTCTGTATGATCCTGTCATGGCATCAAGTGGTCATGTCCCAGGTTTCTTGGTTTTTACATTCAGAATAAACAAAAGCCCACTGGGGGACAACAAGTCTTCCCCGTATGTCTACATGGCCATCATCACAATGGTAATACAAAGAACAGAAAAGCTTGTTTTAGACGGGACCTAACTGCCAGGCAGAAAGGAAATCATCATACTTGTAAATAGCCTGTATAATGATCCAGGATTTTTTTTAATGTTTCCATGTGGCGAGGCCCTTTGTCAGTTATCTCCCTTGTGCTGTAAAACACAGGCCCCTAGGCCCCTTCGTGTCTGAGCATCATTTGATGCTGCATTACTTCACTGATTTTATGAAAGAGATCCCCTAACTATGTATAATTAAATTAAGATTATTCAGAAGGGCCTATTGCTAATCTTCCTTGTGTTAATTTGCAAGAATTGATTAACTGGAGCCATTTAATTAAGAAAGAAAAGGCTAAGTAGGGAGCTTCAAGGGAGATAAGTCAGGCAGACAGTGAAGAAAGGATAAGAAAAGCAAGTTAAAATGTACAGGATAATTAGAAACTAACCCTACCACTACAAGAGGGTTGGGACTTTGGGATTTTATCAACTCACTGTTCCATGGAAACCTCTGAATCTCACCAACCTTCAGCCATCAAGATTGTCCTCATTAGTTAAAGCTGTATAATTAGCTGTCACATTAAACTTATGTCCATGTTTAATAAACCCAAGTTGCTACTAAAAGAGACATGACTCTTCTATCTAATTATTTGATTGAATTAATAAAGCCCAAGAAATGTAAAAAGGCTGCAGTCTGCCTTGTTCCATTGTGTCTGAGAAATCTATAACGGGTTTGACAACTTAAAGGTTTTGCTTGTCTGGAGTGATGCTTTAAGGTTGTTGGAAGGATATGCTTGCATGTGAATACAGTTCATACAACAATATGAAAAAATACTTTTAATTTCTAACAGCAGCAATGATTTGTGTTGTTGGAAAACATTAAGAAAGTATGAATTGCCACTGAGGGTGGCGTCATTCCATTCAGATAATACAAGCCACTTATTGAAAATGTATCAACACAGCTAAAATCATAATGCTGCTGAAAGAATTAGTACCCCCCCAATTTTTTTTTCCTGAATATCTTTGTATATGATTTTTTTTTTTTTTTTAATGCAGGCTGGGAGGGAATTAACACAGTGGCTCAATGAGGGTAATTCTTTTAAGTAGTGGGATTACCCAAACCCACACTGTACTGACATGGCCAATAACCTTCTTGTTGCAGCTGCCCACATCGGGGTTGGTATCAGTGGCCAGGAGGGGATGCAGGCAGTCTTGTCCAGTGACTTCTCATTCGCACAGTTCCGCTACCTGCAGCGCCTGCTCTTAGTCCACGGCCGCTGGTCCTACATCCGCATGTGCAAGTTCCTCAAATACTTCTTCTATAAGAATTTTGCTTTCACGTTAGTGCATTTCTGGTATGGATTCTTCTCTGGCTTCTCTGCACAGGTAGGTCAGCTTCTGTTTTTTTATGGTTATGTCTAACATTTTCAAGCAAAGTATCTGAAAATATTTTAAATGGAAATAAACCAAGCCATTTCCCCCCAGGTCACTGTAAGGCACGCGGATATGTCTTCAGATTGTAAGAGTATAAAGCAGACATTGTACTGCTGGTAAAGGACAGATGCCTGAAGATGTTTAGGTGCCTTATAAAGAGCATAGGTGCCTCCTGGGATTTTTGGATGTGTTCAAACTGACCACAGACATCAAACAATGATGCAGATTACTCAGAACCTGACCAGTTTGGTGCAGATCTGTGTAAGACCCATGTCTGACTTATTATTACATTTAAAGTAATCAGTTTAACCCCAGAGCACCTGCATGCTTCAGTGGCTTGTAAGAAAAGCAAAGCATTTGGTCCAATCCCTCAGTCAAGAAGGATGATCTACAGCAGGTTGCCCAGGACCATGTCCAGGCAGCTTTTGAAGATCTCAGAGCAGAAATATTCCTTTTATATTTGTGTATTCTTTTGAAGAGAGGGAAAAAGAAGCCTTCTGCTAACTCCATGCTCTGTATTTTCTCTTTAGACTGTCTATGATGAGTGGTTCATTACGCTTTACAATTTGGTTTACACCTCCCTCCCGGTGCTAGGAATGAGCCTCTTTGATCAGGTACTGTTTCAATCACTGCTTGTCTCTGGGTTCTTTGAGCTGGTTCCATGAAGCAAAAGCAGATGACTTTTTGGCTAGTTATTGTGATAGCCCCTCACATAGTTTCTTGCCAGTGAGACCTGAGAGCACACAAAAAAGGACACATAAGGAAGGAGATTGTATATTATCCTGATCTGGCCTGAGGGTTTCAGTGCATGGTAACATTTTTGGGTTAGGCTGTTGACTACAATAAAAGCTGGCATTGCAATAGTCCCATGAGGTAGTCGTATCTTACCAGGTCTTTTCCTGAAGCTAGACAAGTGCCTTTTTTATCACCACACAGAATAGCAAATGATGCAGAACTCTGTAGATCTCCTCAGCCAGGTGTTCCAGGTTCTGCTTTTCTAGTGGAGGTCTTCCTGCAGTAATTTCATGTACATATTTTAACCTTAATAGAAATACAGAAATAAAGGAATTTTCTATCCCTTAGCTTCCTGGAAACTCTTAGGAGAATAGGTCGTGCAGTCTGATTAAGGTGAAACATACCTTCATTTTTTTGCAACACTTACATTAGTCAAATTTCTCAGTACAAGGAAGGTGAAATTCAGTATGGAAAATGTGTCCAGGTGACCTTGGGATGCAGCATGCTAGTCAGCACAACTGAATGAATTGTGTGCAAGGCCTTTTCTCATGGAAATGCACATCACAAGGACATGACAGCCTTAAGTGGTCTTGTGTGCTCTGTTGGGTGGGTGCCAGCAAATCTGATTATCTCTTCTCTGCTTTCAGGATGTGGATGATCGTTGGAGCTTGCTGTTTCCTCAGCTATATGTACCTGGCCAGCAAAACCTCTATTTTAACAAAATAGTGTTTGTCAAGTGCATGTTGCAAGGGATCTACAGTTCCCTCATTCTGTTCTTTATCCCCTATGGGGCCATGTACAATACAATGAGAAGTGATGGGAAAGCCATTGCTGACTACCAGTCCTTTGCTCTGATGGCCCAGACCTGCTTGTTGATTGTGGTGTCTGTACAGGTAAGGCATCCTTGGTAAAGTTTTTAGGAATCAGTTACTGTTTTATGAAGGCAGCATCTGGAGAGACACTGATTCTGATAGCACTGTGTTTACTGCTGCATCTTGAATTTCTGTAAAAATAAGTCTTGACACCAGATTATTCTCCTTGGTTCAACAGAACGGCAGATTTGTCTGTTCTGAAAGATCATGGTCACAGGAAGACAGTCCTCGCCTTGGGAAGCTTCATGTCACAGCAGACAAAATAGTTAAGGCTAGGAGTAGAAAAGGACTCCTTCCAGTTTTATGGGATCGGTTTGAAGTATAGCAGTGTCTGTCTGCTATCAGGCAGTTACTTATAGGGCCTTCATCATGGTGAGACCCCATGCATGGTGCAGATGCTAGAATTACACTTGCTGGAAGAAATAGCTAAGACTTGGAGAGAGCTACAAATTTCAGATGATACTGACAGGATGGGTGAAATTTCTCAAAAGAAAATCAAATTGATTACACTTTCCTAGCTAACAGTTTCTGGTCTATGAGGTCTTGTGTACTATTTCTCCTAATTTCCAATGCAAGATCACAGCTTGGGGTGGGAACACAAGTGTGGCTCCACTGATGAGTATCCTGTCTCCAGTACTGACCACGAATGAATCCTTGAGAAGAGGGCAAGAACAGGGTAAATGTAGTAATTCTTGCCTGAAATGCTCTTCCAGCATCCCATGATCTGTGAGTTGGTATTCCTTGAGTCTTGAATGAATGCCACTCTTGGTGGCAGTGGTACAAAGTGAAGGACAAGATCTCTGGTGGTGTTCAAAATAAATCTGCTAAATATTTAAGGCACTGACAACTTCTGTGTTGCTCTCTTTTTCAGATTGGCTTGGACACCTCGTACTGGACTGTTGTGAACCAGTTCTTCATCTGGGGCAGCCTCTCTGTTTACTTCGCTATCACCTTCACTATGTACAGTGACGGCATGTACCTGATCTTCACAGCCTCGTTTCCTTTTGTTGGTAAGCTCTTGGACAAAACTGGATTGCACTTGGCTTAACTCTGTCAAGTATTTCTAGTATGTGTCACTGCTTCTCTGAAGGTGATAACATGCTACAGAATATATCGATTACCTTTTCTACAAGATATGCCAGGGTATTTCCGAAGGCTGATGGGAATGCTTATTTTGAATCCTATCCATCCATGTGAACATGTGCCATGTTCGCTTCCTCGCATAAGAATGCACTCATACACAGCCAGAGGACTGATGCTTTAAATAAATTTGCTGAGCTGGCTGGAACATTTTCTGCTACACTTTTACAGTGTTTCCAGATGTTCAGTTCTTACAGATATCTGGAAGCATTTTATTTGCAGAAGGATGTGTGCTCTTCTGTAAATAAGTTGACATGTTGGTATAGTATAGGAGGGCACAGAAATACAACATCCATTTAAACATGAGAAAATTACATGTGGCTACGGTGAGCCTTCGTCCAAGTTAAATGACAAATGTCCAAGAAAAAGGAAATAAGAGGGATGACCAGCTCTTTGGAGTACTGCGTATGAGGTTTCTACACCTGTGCAGACTGTCTTGAGACTTTGACCAGGAGGTAGATGCAAGCTTAGCAAAGTAATTTAAATGTTTTTAATAGCTCTGTGCATCCATACCCAATATTGATGTAGCATTGTTATGAGACTCTACTCCCGAAATCCTGAAGCTTTTTGTTTCAAGTCTTGGATTGGGGTATTAATCAATACTTTTATTTCTGGATGAATTGTAAGCCAAGACCTGCTCTGCCCATTTTTACTGCAATATCAAGGTGCTTGGCCATTTTAGAAATACCTGAGGATGCAATGTTGCCATCAGTTGTTGCAATGTATTTTCCAAGCAGATGGTCATATCCACTGTAAGATGGCTTTTAGTATTAAAAGTGCCGAGTGAGAGCAGACAGAGTGGCTGCTCCATTTCCAAAGACAGCTGGTAACTCACTTGCTAGGGATATCTCTATCTGCTGCTCTGTTGGCACTACCGAGGTCAAATTAGCCATAATGCTGAGTACTACTTAATAAGATCTCAGTCTGAAGCCATGTCTAAGGGAACTGTTTCTAGTCTAGACTCAGTCAACTTGTTTACTTTAATTTCAGTGGAGTTGTAATACAGCAGAATTTGGCCAAGTGAAAAGAAAACACTCAGCAACTTTACTGCCAACAGCATCATTAAACCCCATAATGAGGGTTTTGCAGACTGTTTGCTCTATCCGACATTCCTTCAGTTTTTGGAGGAGCCCGAAGCCAGCACTTTGGTTTCAAAGAACATGGCAGTATCACGCCACCACATGGCAGATGCTCTGCACACACCCTTTAGGCTACGCTGCCTGTGCATGTGCAGAGCAATGCACACTGCTCTCATAAAGGGCTGTGATCCCATCAGCTACTGGGCAGAGTCCGTGGGCTTTAGGAAATGCTGCAGGAGAGTAAGAAAAAGGTATTCTTCCTTGGTCAGTGACATCCTGCCAGAAGGTGAAAGGGCTGGACTGCCGCAGAAGGTCTCTTGAAGGTTTACATCAGTCTTTTGGAATGATTTGACTCTTTGTAAAGAGATAAAGCACACATTCTGACATCTTGTCTCTCTGAGTGGCTGCAGTTGAGTCTGAACATTGCATTCCTGTCTCAGACGGTGGTAATGATATTGCTGTCCTCTCTGCAGCACGTTGATGTCACTGTTGGAGAAGGTGTCTGCTTTATATTTTGGTCTATTTGCCAAGTACTTTGGAGTCACAGTGATTGAATTATGATGTTAAAAAGGATGATGGTGAGAGGCACTACTCCTACGTTTTTAATTGTGTGTTTGTTTTTCAGGTACAGCTCGAAACACCCTCAGCCAACCCAACGTGTGGCTAGCAATCTTCCTCAGCATCGCCCTCTGTGTGCTGCCTGTGGTCGGCTTTCGATTCCTGAAAGCTCAGCTAAGGCCAACTGCCAGTGACAAAGTAAGGAAATATTTCAGTAAACCAGAAGCCCTCTTGCTACCAGCTAGGCTTACTGCGGAGCCATACAGCAAGGGCCTGGCATTGCTCAGAGTGTATGTTCCTGCAGGTGCAAGTGCTGCCGTCCATCTGGGTTCCAGTCCCTTGAGGAGGAGGACTGAATTTGGGTTTTGGCACAGCTCAAGCCATCTGCAGCTGGGAGCAAGGCAGAGATTATTTAGATGTGGATTGGGTTGCACTGGAGCAAGGAAGCAGCACTATTTTTAGGTGTGGGGTTTAAGTGGTGAGGCTTGGTGGCAAAGGAGCAGTATATTTCAGTCCTGACGCACAATTTTTAGCCTGGCAGAACGCAGCCCTTTGCCCTCCACCCAGCCAGTCATGTTTGCTGTTTATTTTAATTTGTTTTTTTTTTTGTTTTTTTTTTTTTTTTACTTCAGAATTCACTTCATTTGTAGCCAGTGGTTATTTGCCCCCTCTGAAACCAGCTGCCCTCCCATGCCCCAGAATTTAAGGGTGAGGCCAACAGGGCAAGGAGAGGCTGGGAGAGATGGACTGGGCAGAGAGCGCCACTCACTACAGCGAATGACCCCCTGCACAAGATCAGCATCGCCACAGCTCCCCAGGCTTCCCCTCAAACACGAGCATCTCCTAAATGCTGCTGCCACCTCGTGCTTCCTTCCTCTTCCTGCACTTAGCTGCGAGGCATGAGTGTCTCTGAGCAGAGCCTCAAGGGTGTGCTCCTCAGAGGTCGCCTTGGTCATCCTTTGGATGACTGCAGAGCTCCCCAGGTGCTCCAGGGCTGTTGGAGAAGGAGTGAAGGGGAATGTTTGGCCCTTGCAGAGGGGTAGGTGGGTGCTAGAGAAGATCTCTAGGTAGAAAAGTCCTCAGGACACAGAGGAAATTCAGATGTGCAAAAATGGGCTGAATTTACTCTTTAATACTACTGAGTAGAAGCTTGACGTAGCTATGGTCCAGATTGCCATCTTTTATGCATTGGGTGAGCACCTCTAGTGCAAAATCAATTATTTTTTTTCCTTCCTCTGGGAAATGAACTGTCACAGGCGAGGGTTGTTTGGGTTTCCTACTGTATAGAGATCCCCTGGTGGCAGTGTAAGAGGAACTTAAATACAGGCTTGACACTTAGACAGCCAAGTACCTACAGCATTGTCGCAGGCACAATGGACAGAGATGGGATTATCCTGAGCCACTGGCACTCAGAGTTGTCCTCCTGCCTCTGATAGCCCAGTTCTGAATAGATGCCAGTCAGCAGAAGATCTTGGTGGCCATGTGGGAACAGAGAGCCTCCTACCTGCAAATAAATTGCATCATATTTCTCCCTTCTGCCAAGAGATATGAGAGTCTATTGATCGTCATTCTCAATATATAAAAGATTTTATATATTAGAGATCCCCTGTAGTAGTCTGTTTTCTGGATTAAGTGAGCCAATGTTTTGACATTTCCTTATAAATCTTGTTTTCTGGACTTTTGGCTATTGATGTGATGACTTTCACATTTTGGATTACTTGACTGAAGCGTTTAAAAAAGCTGCAGCAATACCCCAACCGAGGCCTCACAGGGCTGTAAGGAACAATATGCTGAAATCATCCCCACCCATGTCTTACAGACGACACTCCCAGCAACGCCTTTCAGAATGAGATTTGTTTTTCCTTTTACCAGGCTGCCACCCTGTGCTGTGTGTTCAGTTTCTGCTCTGCAACCCATCCTGCCATCCTCCTGCTTTGTCAATCATTTTTTGGCGTTGAACCCCTGCGTTTTTCCCCTTTTCTTCGCTCCTCTTTTGCTGTGTTTCTGAATGATGATGCATTTGTTCCATCTTATTTTCTGATGTCAGGTCCTACTCAAGATCAAAGAAGCCAAAAAGAGGCCGCCTCCGCCCTCACCCAAGAGACGCCTGCGTCGGACCAGCACGCGCCGCTCCGGCTATGCCTTCTCCCACCAGCACGGTTTCGGGGCCCTCATCATGTCTGGGAGAAACATGCGGCCAAAATCACCTTTTGCCACAACGGGAACATTTTCACCCAATAGTGACAAGCATAAACACAAGGGACTGTAAGAACCCAAACCAAACAAACCGAACCAAAAAGGGCTGTTGGGAGAGGAGGCTGTGCTCCCCGCAAAGCACCCAGCCCATGGCTGCCCAGAGCTCTGCCCTCTGGGCTACCAAAGCAAGGGCTTGGGCCTTTCCTTTCTCCCACATGCGCTCTCTGGATTCAGCTCCTCTTCCAAAGACATGTCCTGCTCCTGGGGAAGGAGGGGCAGGGGGAAGCAAAGACACCATGTGGTATCTCAGAGGGCCTCCCTGGTTATGCTGTGGGAGGCTCCCTGAGTTTGTTTGTAACGCTACTTTTTTCTCCCCTTACATACCTCAGAGCAAAGTGACGTCCAGGCTGAGGAAAAGGCTGAATTGGCAATGTCCTTCTCAATCATGTGCCTTTGGGTCTGTCATGAATCCACGCTGGGCCTTATTACTGGGGTAACGGTATTGACCCCAGGTGTGCCTTAGGTCCAGCCACACAACCCCCAAATCAACTGTCTCTGTAATACATGTAATTCTGTAGCCTTTTAACTATTTTGTACAGAAGCACTATGGAAGGGATGAGGTTGAAGTAACCTCCTTCCAACCAAACGGTTAATTCTGTTTCTCAAAAGGAGGCCAGTGCCCCCAAACCACCCTCTTCCTGCATCTGCAGCCAGGAGTGCAAGCTCAGAGACATTCCTAGCTGGTCAAGGGACAAGGACTCAGCATTCATCAGTTTGCCTCGTCTTGTCTGCAATGCAAATCTGCTCTTGTTGTAAAAGACCTTTGTCCTCACAGCCACCTCAGGTTTTGTAGCTGGGCACTAGCCATTTCATTCAGACTTAAAATAGAAGGGCAAAAGAAGTTCAGGCACCCATATAGATCAAGCCTTAAAACCCAGCACGGAGAAGCCCGTATCATGGCTAGGGCTCATGTGAGCCTCCAGCACCAGGTGAACTTCCCACCATAACAGACTGAGGCACATGCAGTGTGTGACTGGGTGGAAATCATGCAAGAAATATCAGAGGCTAAGATGCTATTTCACCGCTGGCATGGGTTGTCCTGCCCTTTACTCCGCTGCTGCCGTGAGTCACGGATGAAGCGTGACCTGGTTGTCCTCTCACCCACCCTGCTGCCTGCTGTGGTCAAGTTTCAGAGGATATTAGTGAGGGCTCAGGGGCCTCTGCTGAGTTTCTCTGTGCTGGCTGGTGTTTTGTTCAGGAAAGGTTCATTCATCAATCACACGTTGCAGAGAGCAGAAGGCTCCACCAAATCCTATCAATCTGACTGCCAGCAGAGGGACCTGGTGAATTGGTGGTGATCTCTAGATGCTGGGATTTGCTCGTGGGTTTGTAACACCAGTACCATAACCAGCAGGGTTACTGGGTGGAAGGCCAGTGTGGAAGCATGGGGATCCGTCCCTCAGCACTGCTGAGCTGTCTAAATGGGGATATATTTATTATTATTTTTTTTTTGTGCAGAGGACTAAGCAGGTTTGGCTGTTATATTTTCTCATCTCCTTTATACAAATGTAGACTCTTCCCTGGTATGGAATTAGAATTTTTGCACACTAACCATCTGGTATTTAGTGGGAGCTCTCTGCCTTGAGTCTCTGAGCTATCCGTGGAGGCAGCCTATGATGGCAAGAGGCCAGCAACATCCCCACTTCATCAGGTATGCATACAACACCTTGCTGCCTGCGGTCCCAGTTTCGGCAGATACAGTATGAAATTGTTTAAGCCCTAATAGAAGGTTTCATCTCCCTGTGTTTAACTCTGAAAAAAAAAAAAAAAGAAAAGAAAAAAAAAAAAGCAGTCTGTTGCACCTGCTGCTCTGGGAGGCTCCTTGCAAACTGCAGTATTAAATTTCAGCATAGGCAGTGCAAACTAGAGCTGGGACTGGATCCAGACTTCATCAGGCAGGAGCTGCTTGACTAGGGAAGGAGCAAATTCTAATCCAGTGATCTTCCCTGCAAGGGGATACCGAAATAAAGTGAGAGCCTGAGGAAACTGCTGTGATAGTTGGTGCTTCACCTTTCCCTTTGCAGAGGCAATGGTGGCTTTCGGTTAGGATGATGTCTTTCACAGTCAGCATCTCCAGTGCTAGAGGAAAAAGGAGAGCGAGGACAGTGTGTGCAGGTAAGCAGACAACCCTGCAACACCCAGCCTGGCGTGTGGACTGAGGGCCCTGTCAAAGCTGTTCCCAGCACGTCACGCAGCAGCTTTTAATGCTGAGCAGCAGAGGCAGAGCTTTGGTTGAGGGCGAGGAAACTCTGAGACTGTGTCACTCCTGTCACAAGGTTTACATACAAAGCACCTTCTGGCTAAAGGGGATTTGCAAAGGCTGCAGAGGACATGCAGGGGCTGATGGGTCTGTCGGGGAACTTGCTCCAGCTACAACTATTTCGGTGGTTTTGACCAGATCGACATTTGAGACATATCAGCCGGCAGTGATGTTTGTCCTACATCACTCCTGATTTTATAAAATATTTTTTTTTTTAATAAAAAGAGAATATTGGGATGATCGATTTGTTGCCAACCTGCTAATTGATCAGAGGTGTTTATAACCATACATGTAGATTGTTCCTGGGTGTCCTAAGGTGGCGGGGTGGGCTGTGGGAGGATGGATCTGAGATAACAGTGCTTTTAATGTGGTGTCCTGGCTCGGGGAACAATCAGGAAAGCAAGGAAGCTGCAGGGGACAGCTCAGAGCAGCAAGACCCTAGGAAAAGCCCTGCAGGCGGTGGTCGTGCTGGATCTGCACTTCTCTGCTATCCTGCAAGGCTGCTGTTACCAGAGGTCTCATCGTGGACCATTTTCTGATCTGCTGCTGCCAGTGCAGCCGCACAGGCCAGATTTGATCGCCTCCTGCAGCCGGATTTTCTCCGAGCAGGACACTTTGGCAATTTTACACTCTTACAAATAACCAAAGCAGCTAAAAGCGCTCGCAGGGGTGGGGTGGGGGGGGAAGCGAGGGGGGCTCTATCTGCCGCTTGCTTCACCCCGTGGCAGCCCCAAGCTTTCAGGCGAGAATCTCCGGGACTAAAGCCTCCCCCCGGAGCTGCCCCGGGGGCGGTCACGGCTGGGGGGGCCGGGGGGGGGACGGACAGCAGCGAGGCCCCGCCTCGGCGCCCGGCTGCAAACAGCGGAGCGGCACCGGCTGGGTGAGCGGGGCTGGGGACCGGGGGGGGTCCTGGGGGGGACATAGGGGGGTCCCGGGGGGCTGGGGATGCGAGATGTTGTGTAATGGTTAAAAGAGAGCTTGAGGAAGGCCGTTTGGTCTTTTTTTTTTTTTTTTTTTTTTTTGGACGTCTTCTGTTTGAGAGATAGATCCCTCCCCCCCCCCAAAAAAAAAAAAAATCCCTGTTTTATCTATCTATTTATTTATTTATTTATCTTTTTTTTTTTTTTTTTTTTTTTTTTTTTTTTCTTTGCGTTATTCTGTAATACAGAGGTTTGTGCACGGCTTCTGCTGTAGCACCTGCATTCTCACTGCCCCCACGGTTTTGGGGTCAGGAAAGACAATGCTTTGATGCCAACCCGTGAGCGATACGGTTACTTCTTGTATACAGCAGCAGAGGTGGAAGGGGGGCACAGCACAGCATCTCCTCTCCCCCTCCACCCCCCCCCAGAATGTGAGATGAAATATCGCAGTGAAATATTAGTGAAATACCTGGAGGGGGCTTTAGGTATCTCCTGCTGGGCTCCTGGCGGCTCTCACCTCTTCCATCTGCATCCACACAAGGCTCTTGCACTGAGCTGCAGCCTGGAAGTCATTAATCATAAGCAGCTCCTGTGGCATGGGAGGGCGAGGGAGTGCCACGTGCTGGTACCAAGATCTCTAGTGGGTGTGATCCTCAGCAAGGAGTGTTACAAGAAGGGAGCCCCTCTGATTAGCAACCCCTGCTAATTCCCAGCTGGGAACAAAGCCGGGCACGTAAGGGACCTTGTGGGTACCTTTGGGCGGAGGTGCTGTGTCCTGTAACCCCTTCAGAGCACTGATAAAACTCATCCTAAAAAACCAGCTGTGCCAGATGGAAGCGGGAAGGCTTCCTCTTCAGATGCTTGATTTTTTCCCCTTCTCATTTTCAGCCTAAATGTGTTCACAGCACATTTATTCTCTTGTTGTTGTGCCAGCATTATCCTTTTGCTTCAGCAGTTTTGTTTGTCTCCCGTGATATATTTAGAGAGCAATCCTATACGCTCTCTGCCTACATTTGGCTAGGCTAAACAAGCCAGGCTCTTAAGTTTCTTCTTGTTTGATAGGTTTTCTCTTTCCCCCAGGCCCTTTATGCACCTGTTCATTTGAGTTTATCATTTTTAAATGCGGATGACCAGATTTGTTTTGTATGATGCTCCTGTCACCAGTGCCTGTACAATTGTGCTGATGGCTCACTGCCTTGTCTAGCCTGCATTTGCTTTTCTTATGTCCACATCATCTCTGCAATCCCCCGGGCAGTTAGTGGTTATTATTCTGAGCTTTGCTGTCGATATGCACAGTTATCCAGCTCTGTCCTTGCAGCAAAGCCCTTGCTCAGGCAAACTAATACCACACGACATGGGGAGAATGAAGCTTGAAAATGCACCTTTCCTTCAACACGTACTTTTTGAGCAGATATAAATCTTCGTGTTCTGACTTTGTAAGCATGTTGTTTATTGCAAAGGGAAGAACACTGGCTCCAGTCCATGTGGGTGCCTCTGTGGGGAGATTTAACCTGGGATGCAGTGGCAGAGGGATGCCCATTTGGGACAGCCTCATGGTGCTCAGGACTGGGTGCTTTGGACAGAGGTCCCTGGTATGGCCACGTTCCTGTGCATCCATCCATCCAGGGTACCCAGCACCCAGAGTTCCTGACTGCCTGGAAGAAGTCGAGGTATTAGGTAAATAAACACTTCTTGTCTCTTGCTGCCTCACGTCTGATAACGTGGGCAGGAGCTGCAGTCATCATAGCGTAAATCTGTGCATGCTTTAAACTGATGTCCTCGGGGGTTTCTCCGTGAGCCTGGTAAGGGCTTTATCTGCACCTGATGATGTTTTGGCCACTGTGAACATGCTGGGGTGAGGGAGCTGTCATTCCTCCTAGTAAAGGCAAGTTCCTGGCCTCAGACCCCTGCCCAGGAGCAGGTTTCAGTGCTCTGGACTGGGTTCCCGAAGTGGCTGTGGTATAGGGCTCAGAAGAAGGGCACAGAGCCGTTCTGACCAGGCTTGATCCAAGAACACCGCTGGCCGTAGCTGCAGCTCAGCTGCCGTTCATTTTTCCCAGAGCTCTCCTGCTGCTGTCCTACTTTTTATAATTCACCCAGAAGTAGAGGATGTTTTTTTCTCTCTGGCTGGCGCTGTGAAGGAGCATCCTCTCCTGTGGCTCCCAGTGTGAAGGGAAGTGGTTCTCGTCCCCCCGTCTCCCTGCTCGTGCTGGATGGAGCTGCTGCACCGAGCCTTTCTGCACAGGGCCGAGCCCTCTGCCAGACCCTGGGGCTATAAAAGGACCCGGCCTCTTCCACGCCCTCCCAGCACCACGAGATGCTGCGGGAAATCAGAGCGGGGCCAGGCTTCCTCTGAATTAGGAAAACAAACCTTCCTACCGCTGCCTCGTGGCAAGGCCTCTGTCGGTTTGGGCTTTGGGGGCAGCTGTCTGTGCCCCCAGGAGGGCAGTGCTGCAGGGCTGGAGGTCTGCACTGCGAGGGCAGGTGGTCCCCAACCTGCATGCCATGCTGGGACAGACCTGGAGGTGCTGTCACCCCCGGCCACACCATGCAGAGCACTGCAGATGTCTGTCTGATCCCTGTGCTGTGTCCCAAGGGAAGGCCAATGGGGAGGGCCACAAGCCTGCATCCTGCTTCCACATTGTATTAGGCGCTTAATAAAAGAAGCCTGGCTTCTTTCATAAACCCCTGTTTGTCTCCCTTAGCTTTGGGATTTACAACAGAGGTCCTGGGATCTTTGAGCCTTGTGTCTCTCCTGCGAGGCGGGGAGGATCAGCGCCGCCTTGTTCCGCAGGCGCAGGGCCCAGGAGCGAGCAGAGCAAGGTGACTCGGGGAGACAGTAGCTGCCCTGAATCTTAAACCCAAGCCTTTGTGTCAGCTTGAGCAGAGTGCTACCCCCTGCCAGGCCGTTCATTCCATGCAGAGTGCAGGTCTGTATTTAGAAAACTAATTTGTAGCCTCATGTTTAAGAAGCGGAGTCTGACAGTCTCCCAGCTGATGTGCTTCAGAGAGGCTGCTGGGCCAGGTCCCTGCCTGCCGGCCTTTCACTGAGCGGTGGTTTTGCATCCTTTGGGCTTGGCAACACCTAGAGGCTGCCTTACCTGCTGGCTATTGAGCCCTCGGCAACCTGCAGGCTGTGGTTAAGGGAACATTTAATATTCAAAAGGTGCGAGCCTGGTTTGTGGCTGCCAGCGCCTGCAGTTCTGCTTCTGGTTCGGTTTCTGCTGGGGCAGCAGATGCTGTCTGACACCTTTGGCTGCGCAGGGTGCCTGGCTCCGTGTGTTTCCTGCTCTGCAGTGGCTGGGTTGTGCTGCAGATCGAGTGGGCTGGCAGAGCAGGTGTGCAGGGAGCAGTACGTCTGCTCTCTTTTCAAGTGAGCTGCACAATGTCATAACCCAGCCCGCTCGCAGGGCTTTGCTAAAGTCTCCTTTCTCTCTCTCTGCTGGGATCGCAGACAGAATTTTGCAGGGCTGGAGACTAGAGGGGGTGCTTCCTCCAGCCTTTCCCCGCTCCATCAAGCTGCTGTGGCAAGGATATCTCTGTGGAATCAATGAAATTAAGTTATTGCGTGTAGATGTAGCTGCCTGATGTTATTTCCTGTGGTTAGCTCTGCTGAAGCTGGGCCAGGCAGCAGATCCTGTGGGTTTGCCAGCTCGACTTGGAGCACTTCAGGGGAAGCTTGGCTGGGAGGAGTTTCTTCTGCTTGCTCTGTCCCTCCCAGATGTTCAGGGAGGCTGCTTCCCCCACCTCTGCTTGGCCTCACGCAACCTGCCTTCTGCTGAACGCATAATTCCCAGTTCTTCTCCAAAGGACACTTGGAAAGGTGGTTCTGTGATTCCTGAGTATAGGTCTCTGTTCCTCTGATTTTGGAGCAAGAAGCCTAGTTGGGGTTTTGCTTGTGACAGCTGCTGCTCATCCAAAGCCCACAGTTTCTCCCCATCTTCCCATTCTTGCGTGCGCTTGCCTGGACTGGGAATATTGGTTTCCATATCTTATGTCTGATGTGCCTGGGGTTGGTATGTATTGAGCATCTTCACAGTCCTTACACCTTGTGCTGGGCTCTGCTCTTCTACTGAACGCTCAGTGGAGCCAGGGAGGGCAGCATGTGTCCTCCTCAAGACCCGTCTGAACCATCTCGTGCCATGGATAACCCTCACAAATGCTCTGCTGACACCACTATCTCTGCCTGGGCCAGGCTGTTAAGGCTGTTTTTGGAGGACACTGCCTTAGGATGCCGTCAGCCTGTCTGCTAAAACAACTGCTTTGAGATTTCAGAATTTTCTGCTTAAAAAACTACATAGGCACCATGGTAGTTTATCTCATG